AATCACCAGGCTAGATACTAGCAAAGTCGACCAGCTCATCGGTATCCTGAAACCCCATTACTTTCACTGTCGTTCCATCAGATTCAGCTCTGGGAGTGGAGCATATAGCCAAGCCACTTTAGACATGTTTAGACTCCTCGAGTCGATGCGCGACGGTCATTATCCCATGCTACAGACTTTTCTCGTCGAGGGTGACATGTATGACATGATGGAATGCACGATTTTCGACGATGCTCCGAACCTTACCAACGTGCGCTTAAGAGGCTTGGGTTTAAGCTACTGCCGTCCTCCTCTAAATGCCGTCACTGAGCTTCATTTAGCATATACACTCGATACCATTCCCTACGCCGACTTCTCCAAAATGTTACGATCCAGCAAGTCATTGATCACATTGTGCATCTACGACGATTTGGTTGACCCATGGCCTTCTGGTCTGCCATTAATCCATATACCCTCTCTCCGATACCTACGGATTTTTGGATCTATGACGGGTGTCTCTGAGTTCCTACTCTCCATTTCTGTTCCAGATCTGGAAGAACTCACCATCGCTCCCATCGCAACGGACGACCTCATCATCCTTCAAGAGGATATCTCTCACAACCCACCAAAATTTCCTGCACTAAAGTCTCTAACCCTTGCACCCGCTGAAGCTCATTCCATGCAACAAAATTTACGCCCTGCATCGATATGCTTTCCTGGAATAGAGTTACTTATTCTTCCCAACTATTATAGTGAATCTTTCTTAATGTCTTTCATGACAGACGAAGCTGCCCCTTTGTGGCCCGGGCTTCACGCCCTCGCAGTACGCGACATTGATGGCAGGTGCAATCAAGGTGTATTATATGAGTTCGTCGAGGAACGCCAACGTTTAAGCGTCCCCTTACACACATTATACTTGGATTCTTCATCTGTACCAAGAATGACTCGAATGGATTGGCTCAAGAATCAGTTGTCGGTGGTAGAGGCGGATCCTTGGTGGATACAATGTGGGGACGCTTTCTATAGTGATGAAGAAGACCCATTTCTAGGATACCGATCACCGTGAGCGCTTGAGCACCGAGGCTGATATTTCCTGGTGGCATGACTCTACTTCTGGATGTCTGCACCTCTACATTGCATCATCATTCTTTAGTTACAGAGTATCTTCATTACATATTTTGTAAATACTTTATAGATGGATTTTTGAGCTTTCGGGTTTTTGGTTTTTGGTTTTTGCAGGCAGCACGTGCAGTGTAACTGTGTAAGTAAGTCGAGAAGTCGAATCAATCTCCTTCAAGCTTCTGGGGAAGCTTGCACTCAGCTATCAGTCTTCAACATTTCATGGTGAGTTAACGCTCCTCGAACTGATGTGCTGTCCTGATATATGGCGCAATAACAGGCGATTTGCTCATTTTTTCTCAAAGGGAATTGTCGGTTCGGTAACACCTGCAGAAACGAACACCCTCAACTTGTCAACCCCAGTCGACAAGGAGGCTTTGGAAGTGCGTCTCGAATGTCTTCGCTAATGGAGGGTTTATTCATTGCGATATAGATCAAGGATGGACAAATACTCGGAACTCAAGCTCAAACACAGGCGCAAAGCCCTCATTACCCTTCAGGTTACTCTCCTCCAAAGTCCATCTGAGCTCAGGCTAATATCGTTTGAAATAGCACTGACTCACTGAAGAACGACCTCACGCCGCAAGTTGACAAGCCCATCTGGCCACTTTCCTCCTTTGCTCCATCGAAACATGAGCCAGTGCTGCTGGGGGGTTTGGACGAGTCGCCAGAGGAACTGCGTGTGAAGGCCGTTCAGGCGATCGCGGCGGGGAATATCAACGAATACGTGAGTCGCCTCGCTTCATCATCAGACAGAGTTTTGACTCGCCCCTTCCCTCAGTTAGCATACGAAGCCAATAAGATATCTGCTGCAGAGCAGGTTTACGCGGTACACTCACATATTAACTTTGTCGATAGCTCAACTGACACCTACCTCCCAGAATGCACGTTCTAATCTTACCCAAGCGTATGACCAAGCAGTCAAGCAGAGCAACTTGCCCGCCCTACTTGCGAGCCAAAACGGGGCTTCCACCTTGACGGTGACTACATCAGCATTTGGCAGCGGCACGCCGTCCGCTGTTGGTAGCACATCCACGCCACAGTCAGCGTTTGGGAGCACGACAACGCCATCTGCTTTTGGGAGTGCGACAACGACGTCCGCCTTCGGTAATACAACAACGCCATCTGCTTTTGGTAACACATCTACGCCATCTGCGTTTGGCAGCACATCTACGCCATCCGCGTTCGGTAGCACAACAACGCCATCTGCGTTTGGCAGCACCACAACACCGTCAGCCTTCGGGAACACAACTACTCCCTCTGCCTTTGCCAGCACCCCTTCAGCTTTCGCCTCTTCATCATCAGCCTTCTCTTCAACCACAACGCAACCCTCAGCTTTCGGTTCTACTATCACCCCTTCAGCATTCAGTAACAACACAACTACGCCGTCGGCTTTCGGCAGCTCCAACACCACAACCCCATCCGCATTTGGTAAATCAGCCTTTGGCCAACCAGCTTTTGGTCAAACCCCCACGCCCGCTGCAAGCACTAATACCACGTCAGCGTTTGGTCAACCTCCGGCGTTCGGCAGCCCTTCAGCATTTGGTCAGCCTGCTGCGTCCTCTGTCATCAAACCGGCTACAGGGGCCTTCAGTGCTTTCGCTGGAACGACGCCAACAGCATTTGGTGCTGGTGCTTCTAATACTTCGAACGCTACCAATTCTGCTGGAACAGGGGGAGGCTTCTCAGCGTTTGCAAACGCCGGCCAACAACCATCTCCTTTCGGTGCTGGCGCCGCTAATGGTGGTGGGGGTTCAGGTGCATTTGGCCAATCTGGATTTGGAACAACACCAGCGCAGGGAACGTCAGCGTTTGGCGCTCCTGCCCCAGTAACATCCGCATTCGGGGGCACGAACACCTGCACCACCAATGCTTTTGGTCAATCAGCCTTCGGACAAACCTCACAGCCCTCTGCGTTCAGCGCATTTGGTCAAACCACAGGGGGCGGTATGAACAAAGCCATATCGGCTTTCGGTCAATCCCAACAGACTGTATCCGCATTTCCTTCCTCCCAATCACAGTCGCAATCCAACCCATTCCAGCAAACCCAACCCGACCTTCCCGTCTCACTCACGCCCTCCATTACCAAACCTGCGCCAGCCGCTAAAGGTCCCCCGGACTTCCTCAATGCACCTTCAACTTTCCGCCCAGGCCTGACGCCGTATGACTCTCAATTACCGTCAAACTATACCACAATTCTTCCTGGACTTGCCATGGAAGCGTTCAAAGCTACCAAATTTGAGTGGGGGAAGGTGCCGGAGTGGATTCCGCCTGTTGAGTTGAGAGGTCCAGAGGGCGCGACATTCTCATAGGGATTGCAGTTGAATCTGATTTCCACGAGATAATTGTATCACACACGTAGAGATTAATTGTACTGTAATTTTTGTTCTGAGGGTTCCAAGCCTACTTCCTCACAATTGTCTGCCAACGTATCGTTCCAACCTGGTTGCAACCTGGAATTGTTCGATGCAGAGATACGTTCTATCTTCCTCCTTCGATGTCAGTTGTTTTCGCGGTTGGTGATCAGGTTTGAAGAGGGCAGCGCAAGGACGGTCTCGCTGAGTAAAAGGTAGGTGGGAGAAAGGTGTTGTGATCTTCTGCAAGCCGATTATTTATCTTCTTCATTGAAAGCAGCGGCGCATCACAGTCTGCACTGTCCAGAATCAGTCCTGTCTAGAGACAAGTGCAATTCTACCGCTCAGGTATGTCCACAATTTTGCATCCTTCTCTTTTTTGACCTTCCGAAATACAACTCAAGCCTCATCTATCGCACAATCCAACGGAATGGCTGGCGCTAAAGCCCCAAATCAAAGCACCACAAACTTCTCAAAGTCTTTCTCCTCACGTCGAGGAGCAACATTGGCTAACAACTTGCCCCATGAACTCCTCGTGCACATTTTCGAAACGGCACAGAACACGTTACTCTCTTCGAAACACATATTCCGTTTTCCTCTCGTTCTTGGAGCCGTATCGCAATATTGGCGTCAAGTGGCTTTTACAGCACCAAAGCTGTGGTTGAACGTGGATATTTCGCATCCTCGGGATTGGATCGCTTTACAAGGTTACGTTGACAGGTCCAAGCACTACCCTATCGATTTGCACTTATCTTATGTCGAAACGTTCACGAAAGACCTGATTTTTTTCGATGCCGAGGCCACCCAGCTTATAGCTATCCTGCAACCCCATTACAGCCGCTGTCGTTCTATCAAATTTCTCGGGACGTATCCCAATCCTGCTTCAGAAATAGAGATGAAGAATATTCTTAGATCGATATCCAACAGCCATCTCCCGATTCTGAAGCGTTTTCTCGTGCAGTTACCTGAAAGGCTCAACAATCGGATAAGACTAGCATTTAGATGCGAGGCTCCGAACCTGACCAGTGTATTTTTACGCGGTTTGGGTCTGAGTTACTGCCGCCCTCCTTTGAATGCTGTCACCGAACTCCACCTAGCAGTGGAGAATAAACTCATCGACGACGACGACTTTTTCGAAATTTTACAGGCCTGCGCCAAATCATTGATCACGTTATGTACCTACGACAATTTGGTTCAACTTCATGTGCCTGCCGGAAATCACTCTATTTCTATGCCTTGCCTTCGGCATCTACGCATCTTTGGGACTATGCATAAAGTTTCTGAGCTGCTACTCTTGATATCCGCACCAGACCTCGAAGAACTCACCATTGCTCCCATCATCTTGCGCGACCTCGCCACGCTTTTATTAGAATATCCTAATCATCCTAAATTTCCCGCATTAAAGTCACTCACCCTCGCGCCAGCTCATCGTGATGCTATGGGACGAGTTCCGATATATGCGTCAGCATGCTTCCCCGGAATCGAATTGCTCATCCTTCCAACTTACCATAAACCGTTTTTCATGCCATGGTCTTCCTCGATGAACGATGACGCTCCCACTGAGCCTCGTTGGCCACGGCTTCATAGTCTCGCTGTGTGTGACGTTGGTGGCAAGAACAATGAAAACGTGTTACTTGACCTTGTCGCGGATCGCCAACGTTTAGGTGTGCCCTTGCACACATTATACATGGATTCCTCATCGGTGTCAAGGATGACTCGAATGGATTGGTTAAAGGATCAGTTAACGGTAGTGGAGGCAGATCTTTGGAAGATGCAGCGCCGCGACGGTTTTTATAGTGAAGAGAATCGGTTCACTGGATCAGAGACGAAATTTTGATCTTTTCGGGCCACTGCTACTACCTAGGTCGGAGGTGGTGACGGAGTCGATGTGTGATTCATAACCTCGTAGTCGACCGATGGATTTTCCGTTTTGACTCTTGCTTGTTGAATTTCAATTCTTGTTGGCAGCTTTTGTTTTGTATCAGCACTTGGTTATGAACGAACCTGGCACGAACGTAAAACCCCGACTTTCTGCGAGGTCAGCCCAACGCCAACGATGAGACCCAAGATGAGAAATGCTGCCATACCGAACATGATGACAAGAGAACCATCGCGTGGTGACAGCTACGTTTTGGAATATTCCTCGCTCTCATCGAAAACAGTGGGTCTGATGTTAACCGTTCTCGCTCGTTCATTACTTACAGGTGTTGGTATTGAACCCCTACGCTTTTCGAGTGGTTAAGAACAGAGAGAAGTGAGTTCACGCTGACACTTGTACTTGACCACTATCTTGGGGATCATGACCACGATTCCCGGTTTGGAGTATTAGGGTGATTCGGATCATTCACATATAATTTATTGTTAAGAATAATGAAGATTGGAATAATAGCTCTTGAAACCACAAGTGTTTAGTCCTGAAAAACGACCGTGAGTTATGAGTGTCAGATGTCTTCAAAGACAGATACACACCGAGGGATTCCTTCAGATGCTCCTTCACTTCTGTCTCCTTAACTCCTTCAATAGGCTGTCGCTCTACATCGTACACCTCCTCGGACATCTCTGGCCCATCGTGTATGAACGGCCCACGGATGACTTGCGTGATCACCAGGAAGTCGGGAAGGTGGGATTCTAAGCGACTTGGGGCAAAGGTGCAGCCAAGGGCAATACCCTGCTCCAGAACCAACTTTTCCAGCCGAATGGGGATGTTAAGATCTTGTCGATGGTGGTCGGGTAAGTCGTAATTGTAGAAAGCTTTGAACCGCCTATGTCCTTCATCGTGGTCAACGAGGAAACCGCCGATAATACAAGCTCGAGCACGCTTTGAGCCCCTTGTCGCATTTGGGGGTGGCAGATGCCATGGAGGAGGTAAGACTTCGGGAGGGTGAGGGTTTTCGTGAATTTTCGTGAATTTTGGTTGCGCTCATAGCGATGATTTCTGGTAGGAACTGATAATATGTGTAGGCAGACTGCCAGGAGACGCAGGCGTTTAAGTACCTGTCAACGGTACAACAGTTCTAGAAAAGAGAACAAGGAACTAACCTAGCGTAAGCCTGAAAATTGGTTCTTTCCTTTCCCATTTTCAACGCTTTTGATGGTAGATAACGGGGTGGAATACGTCAAGAGTTTCAATTTCATCTTCGATTGACTCTGCCAACTTGGTGCACTCTTGTAATGCTGGGGTTACCTGTAAACCACCGACCAGTCGTACCTGATTGCCATCATCGTTAGCTTGCGACTTTACAAAATAATGTTTGTTGCACAGTCATCAACCGGTCAATATCAATTTCGCATGGCTAATCCTTGTCAATGTACGAATTCTCCTCCTTAATCTGAGCATTTCTAAATATATACCCCCAAGCTTCATCCGTCGCGGTGGCTAATCTCCTGGATGACTCGGAAATTACTAGAAACCTCTCAGACTTCAAGTTGGAGGTTTTTTTCTCGGATGGCCAGCAAGCGGCTCCTGCCAACGAGTTGCCACCCGAACTCCTGGTGCACATTTTTGAGATTGCTCAGAACATGCTACTCCCATCAGAGCATCTATTTGGGCAATTTCCCCTTGTACTTGGGGGTGTCTCGCACTACTGGCGTCAAGTGGCGTTTGGAGCGCCCATGCTGTGGTTGAACGTGGATATCTCGCATCCTCGAGATCTCACTGTTTTACGAGCCTACCTCGACAGGTCCAAGGGCTACCCTATTGATTTGCACTTGACGTATGATGCGAAAGCAGATCCTATCAATGCCGACCAGCTCATCGGTATCGTGCAACCCCATTATTTTCACTGTCGTTCCATCAGACTCAACTCTGGCGCATATCCCCAAGCCGCCCCAGGGATGGTTACTCGCTTCCTCAAATCGATGCGTGACGGTCATTACCCCATGCTACAGAGTTTTCTCGTCGAGGGTGATGAAATGCATGAGACGTTTGAATCATGCGCAATTTTAAACGACGCCCCGAACCTTACCGATGTACGCTTAGGAGGCTTGGGTTTAAGCTACTGCCGACCTCCTCTCAAGGCCGTCACTAAGCTTCATTTAGCAGTCACAAATTGTGTTATTCCCTACACCGACTTCTCCAAAATGTTACAATCCTGCGAATCATTGATCACATTGTGCATCTACGACGATTTGGTTGACCCATGGCCATCTGGTCAGCCATTAGTCCATATACCTTCCCTCCGATGCCTACGGATCTTTGGAAACATGACGGGTGTCTCTGAGTTCCTACTCTCCATTTCTGTTCCAGATCTGGAAGAGCTCACGATCGCTCCCATCGTCTCGGGCGACCTCGCCATGCTTCAAGAGGATATTTCACACAATACGCCAAGATTTCCTGCTCTCAAGTCTCTAACCCTTGCACCCGCTCATGCTTTTGCCATGGAGCAAACTTTAGGCCCTGCGTCGATGTGCTTTCCTGGAATAGGGCTACTTATTCTTCCCAATTATTATAGTGAATCTTTCTTATTGTCCTTCATGACAGACGAAGCTACCCCTTCGTGGCCGGGGCTTCACACCCTTGCCGTGCGTGACATCGACGGCAGGTACAACCAAGATGTATTATATGAGTTCGTCGAGGAACGCCAACGTTTAGGAGTGCCCTTGGGCGCGTTATACTTGGATTCTTCATCGATACCAAGAATAACTCGAATGGATTGGCTCAAGGGTCAGTTATTGGTGGTGGAGGCGGATCCTTGGCGGATACAATCTGGGGATGCCTTCTATAGTGATGAACAAGATCGGTTTGTAGGATCAGGTGGAGATAATATTAATATTTCCTGGTCGACATGACTCTATTTTTGAATTTCTGTACCCCCGCATAATGCATCATAAAGCATCATGTAAATACCCAATTATACGTAAAGCTGATGATTGAGAGCCGTCTCAGTCTTGACTCGCCTGCTGGATGTCCACAGCAGTCCACGCAGACGTATGCAGCTCCTCATTAGATAAAGAGGGCTAGCTTCAACAACGTCGTTAACAAAAGAAGATACCCACATCTCGATAAATCTATCCCGGGGATGGAGTCGTTCGTCAGTTTCACCCCGTTGAGAAGGACCTTCTTGTACACCTTGAGAGAGTTTATGTGCCATGATGCGTTCTAGACGTGCGAATGCCTTAGCCGATTCGCGGCGGAGTCTGGTGTTTGAGAAACCTAAAGTCGCAGGATGTTGGGCACATGCCAGTGTTCCTGGTCATCCGGACGTGACGTACGAGTTGCCAGCCCATTCACCTATCAGGAGGGTGATCCATGAAAGGAGCTGTCTACGGCATCAGGATTGAACATACCGCAAAAAGTGATATCTAAATCGGAGTGGGCAGGTGTAAAATTATCCAAATGATCTGGACGCACCGAAGACAATGGTGTGATTATGAAAGAAATTAGTGATGTTGCATTTGGCTGGAACCCATGTCGGGGGAACAGGCGTCCCTGCTATAACATCTCCGGGAATAGCAGCGCGGTAGAACAACCCGGCATGTTCAAATAATAAGCATGTCGTAAAACACCCCCACGGAAGCTCCCTGAAATTGACTCAGCGATCGAAGCCGATTCCTGATGACTTGCTGCGGCGGCAAATAACTTAAGTCCCAATGTGAGCTTGTCCAACTGCCTCCGTAGCGAGCAGTGATGAAGAAGTGAACCTTCGCTTTGCAGGATTGTACGGCGTCCTCGAGATTGGATTTGACTAACGATGTCCTCGCTTCAGCATCACCCACCGACACCCTTCCGTTGGTTAACCCGTGTCCACAAATGATGAGGCAGAGGATATCACCAGAGTCGAGTCGAGAGGCGGTCTCTATGACCCGCCGAATATAGGCTGATTTGAACTTGTTGAGTTTGAGGTAGGCATCTGGGCCTGATGTATCGAAGATCTCCTCAAAAGGGGGAGGATCAAAGACTAAACGGTCACACCCAGAATCGCCAAGAAGCAAACCTGGTCCAGATCGAATATCCGTACCACATAACCAAAAGCTCTGGTCTTCTGCACAGTTAAGAAGCGATTTTATCGCCACGAAATTAGTCGCCTGCCAAGGATCCTCGAGGTTCTCTTGTGTGATCCCAGTCGACGTCAAGATGCTACAGGCAAACACTCGGTCACGCCTCGAGGCCAAAGGCAGAGATAGGGCCCTGGAAAACCAATTGAGAAGGCGCGGTAGGAAGGTGGCGAACGGTGAGATGTAGGGAAGTAACAGTGGTGGGACGAACGCGGTGAGGGAAGTAAGAGCCATTATTCAATGCTAGAAGCAAAGGTAGACCTCGAGGTATATTCCGGGCTATAACTTGTAGTGGAACAAAAGGGAAATGTAGGAGATGCGTCTTTTTATGGCAGCCATTAATTATAAATAAAGTCTGGTTGTTTCAGTTTTGACTCGCATACATCGCCTCATTGGAAAAGGAGTACCAGCAACAACGTCATCAACAAAAGGAAATACCCACGTCTCGATGCATCTATCCCAATGATGGAGTCGCTGGTCGGTTTCACTCCGTTAAGAAGGACCTTTTTGTACACCTTGAGAGAGTTTATGTGCCATGATGCGTTCTAGATGTGCGCATGCCAGTATTAGCTGATTCGCGGCAGTTTGGTGTTTGAGCAATGCGTACCACAAAATTCGCAGGATCCATGAGTCGTTGGGCACATGTTCCTGGACATCCTGACGTAGCGTACGAGTTGCCAGCCCATTCACCTATCAGGAGGGTGATCCATGAAAGGAGCTGTCTACGGCGTCGGGATTGAACATACCGCAAAAAGTGATATCTAAATCGGAGTGGGCAGATGTAAAACTACACAAATGATACTGGACGCACCGAAGACAATGGTGTGATTATGGAAGAAATTAGTGATGTTGCATTTGGCTGGTCCAAGAATGGCTGAGGGCGGACCCCATGTCGAGGGGACAGGCGCCCCTGCTATAACATCTCCGGGAATAGCAGCGCGGTAGAACGACCCTATCCTCAAAGGCGTCAGTGGCAAAGATGACAGACCGCAAGGACGTACAAATGGCAATCCCATCCTCGTCCCACTTCATGGCAATCACACCTCCACCTTGAGACTCAAAGTACGGCCCATACGAGGCTCGACTCCATTCCGTCACTCCGCAGCCGGCGTTATCGTTAATAGTTCCATCGCAATTCTGGCGCGATTGCGACTGTGATAGATTAAGAAGCTAAATGATAGCAAGGGACGAGCAGGGAAGGTTACCGACCACAATAGTGCCAGTGAAATTTAACGTTGGATCAAGGTAGCACCCTGTTTGTTCCCTTGATGAAAATTGTCATTTCCTTGACAAGACAACCACCAAATACCTGGTGCGGTATGCCACGCGATTTGATTGTGTTGATTGTCATGAACCCCTTCAATGATATCAATTTCACCATTCTAGGAGGAAGGTGATGTTAGTGGGATGGGAAAGGGACATTGTTGCTCACCCATGGCCAGTTCTCATTCGTAGTCCAAAATGCAGGCCAGATAGCTATTTCTCAGTTAAACAAAGAATGCGGGACAAAAAAGGAAGGGACGTACCACACCCCCAAGGAGCGCGAGTAAGATCTAGAATGAACAAGCCTGAATTGTACCTTGCTTTACTTTGTATTCGGATGCTGCAAAGGACACGTCAACCATCAAGGAGAATACAGCTACGATGAAATCCACCTGTCTCGATTCACACCACTTGGCAACACACTCTCCATATCGGCCTTCATGACAACCGTCCCGTTGCTCTCAGTGTAGGTGAAATTTCGCCGGATCGCCTCAGAGCGATTGAGAAAACTAGACAAAAGGTTGTAGTTTCGTCGAGGAGGCTACTATTGGGTCTACTTTACAGTTCCCCTTTGGATTTGATCAATCCAACCAGCAAAACGGAGTAGAAAATGCGCATGAAACTTACTTTGTTGGATCTTCATAGTCAAAGAAATCCCACCGGCTGAAGCCATACAATCAGTCGAAGTATCTCGATTACTAGAATCAGCATACTCACTCGAAGAACGTCTCCCCGGCGTATACATCCTGGGTAAGCCAGAGGAATGTCGAACCATTAGAATTCGTGTTGATCCCTGCGCGTTTCTCCAGATTCCGTGAGGGATGGGTTTGGAACTTGGTCCATGAACTGAAGCCTCCAGCGAATGAGTCTATTTTCGCGCTTGCAACGTTGTGAAGATCAGCGAACGCTGCCGCTGCCGCTGCTGGCTGAGAGGGGTGGAAGAACAGCAAAGCAAATATTGTCTGGATCCGGTATAGTGGGTCAAGAAGCATTGGTATCGCGTCGTTTAAAGTTCGTAAGAGATCTAGGTTGCAAAGAATTCGGGAAGATAAGATATAAAAATTCGTCTAGGTCGTTAAAAGTCGTGTCCTCGAGGTATATGCAAGGCCGAGAATTAAATCCGACAACAATGGGAGTGGGCAATTGAATGGCTGTGTCGCAACGTTGTCCTCAACACGCGTTGAACGACGTGGGTAGCGCCAAGGCGCAACGTCGGCCAAACGGGGAACGCCAAGAACTTTCTAAAGGCTTACACCACGAAACCACCACCATGAAGCTGCTTCACAAAAGTTGAAAATATGCTATAAAATCACTATCTCCCCGATATCCCACCTATTCGATCCACCTCACCATCACCCGACCAAATCCGAGCTAAATTGCATCATGGTCCTTCAACACCTCCTTCGCATGCTCTTTCGCCTCTTGTGAAGCACGAGGATCTAGGGGTGCAAAGCTCGATTGATCTACACGTCGCGAAAAAGAAAAGAAAACGTACTTTTCAAAGTCGCCTTGTACCCACCCAGCCGACGGTGTTCCTCCAGCTGCTGTTCGGATCCCATTTCCTTGCTTTCAATCTCTCGCAAATCCATCCCATGTTTGCTCATGCTCTCAGTAGCCCCGCTCTCCATAGGCCTCTCGCTGCTTTCGCCTATATCGGCTGAAATACTGTCAGTGAATCTGCCCCCGAGCACACAAAAATCTGGTTACCCTTAGCTTCTTTGGCATGCGACTTTTTGCCTGCTCGAGGAGGTGCCGGTTTATTAATGTCCACCCCCATCTCAACGAGCTTCTCCCTAGCTCGGGTCTTGGCTTCCTCCGAAACCGCAGGATTGTGGACCGTCGCTTTCAGTCCTGCAGCAACGCGTTCGGGATTTTTTTCTATGCAATGAAGTCAAATTAAATTTCTCAAACGTGCAAGAAAGAGACTTACTGCCGCCAGTCGCTGGCATTCTCGCTGGGTTGTTTGGGTTAGGTTGGCAAGGATGAATAGGTATGAAACCGTCCTACCCTTATATTTCGCTGACTGAATTGTTTCTCTGGATCTCCATACGTCATGGCGCTGTTGTCTAATGCCGATTGAGTCCCAAAATGCATTCCAGCATTGTAAGGACAAGGCGTTCAACGAGGCTAATTCCCATCGTACAGCCCAAAGTAAGAATGATATTGAAAGTTCGGATAGCGAAACATCGCTCTTTGAGGGCAAGATACTCATACAGGATACAGTTATTTACGGTTGATGGATTCGAGCGAATCAAAGTCTTCCTCAAAACCAGACTGGCTCGCACGCACCGTTTCCAGCATCTTCTCTTTGGCACCACCCCTCGCATTGCGATCTAATGCGCGTGAGGCCTCGAAGGAGGTCGTTGAAAGAAGAACGCACTGTGCTTGACCGTATCGTATGCCCCGGTGACCTTACTTTCCTCCAGTCCCGCCATGGGCCCCTTTTGGCACCCCATTTCGAACCTCTCAAACGCTTCGTCGTTATGGAACGTATTGTTGTCCTTCATCTCTCGTTCGGGGTTCAGCTGGCGTTTGTGCCTCTGAGTCTCTGGTATGAAGTTAGGATTGCAAGAATAAAAGAGGAAACCTAGCGCGATACCCTTCTGCAGTTGGACCTCTGATACCTCCAGTCAATACCCTTGCCATCAGGAATCGCAAAGCTACGCATGCCTACCTTTTTCCTCGATCTCCGCCATCTGAGTCTCGGTGGCCTTGCCAGCTGTCCATGGTCCTTCTTCGTGTTTTCCGTATGGACGATCTACAGAGACATGAAGTCGTGACCCTCTATCGCTGGGATAGCAAACGCACTACTGGGCATCTTGTCGTTAGAAGTTATAATTGACGTTGAGTAGAAGCAGCAAGCGTTGATTCCAGTGACCTCATATTCGGAATTCCGTGGGCAAATGAGGGACTCTTTGTGTCTCGGAACCAATGGGAGTAACGTCAAACCGAAATACGAGATATATAATACATTTATTGGGGTGGGGAGAAGCCGATACAGCTACAACGCGCCATGGTCTTTCAGATATTTCTCTGCCTCCTTCTTGGCCTCGGGCGAGGTGTGAGGGTCTGCCAAAAAACGGTCAGAGAGAACCGACACATCCAAGGGTGTACGAACTGTGGAGAGTAGCTTTATATCCACCGATAACGTGGCTCTCATGGCTCGATGCCTGCGTTTGTGCTAAAGGAAAAATCAGTAAATACTTTCAACGCCGGCCATGTGAAGGCGGCTAGTCACCGTGAGGGTGAGAAGCACTGGTAGTATGGTGCGCGCCCGACTCCATTTCTTTCAACTCCTTCTCCGCATGTGCCTTGGCTTCAGCGGAAACTTTGGGGTTGTGGATGGCGGCCTTGAGTCCAGCCTTCACATGTTCGGGGTCCTTCATTTCATAACCCATCTCTTTCAAGCGGTTCTGAGCCTCGTGTTTGGCCTCTGCGGAGACACGCGGATTGTTTATGGTAGCCTTTAGACCAGCAGCGACGTGGTCTGGATCCTTCTCATGGTGCTGAGTGTGCTTTGCGGGTTCTAAATGACGTTGTCAATTGTCAGTTCAGCGGAGAAGTGGGTAAGTACTGACGGCTTGATGACATTCTGGATCGATATATCTGACGTGGATGGAGGTAGAGAGATAAATTGTTTTAGAAAGAGCTGGAATTATATACCTGTACATAATACAAATTAGGAGTAGAGACAAACCGCAGCATGAGCCGATTTTGGAGCTCGGATCCTAGCAAACTCCTAGAATGATTTTTGGCGGCCCAGCAACGCGCCTTGTTGCGTCAAGTCGCCAGGAGGTATGGGCCTGAATCCACCAGAAAATGAACTCATAGGGGCAAAATATTGTGGAAACAACCGGGTTTCAGCGCGTTCGAGCTCCAATATGATGTCGGAGGTGAATCAAGGTTGGAGCAAACATCATCATGTTTGGGGTGTAGGCTGTAGCCAAACTATACGACACCGCCTCACGATCAAGCCAAGCGCCATTTGCATCTTGCAGTTATGGTCGAAATTACAATTAGGAAGAGGCCTCGCACGGAGGCCGTCGTAACTCAACGCAAGTTCTTCAAAAAGACAGCGAGGGGGAAAGTCATAAAAGGTTGGACTTTCAGTCTCCATCTGAGTCGACATTGAAAAGTCTCCATCGCACAGTCCTGCGAGAACGCTACCTACGAGACGATGTAGCGTGCGGAATTGAAAGCTGTAGAAGCTGTTCTGAATTACCTGGAACTAGTATTCTTCCACCTTCCGGCGATCAGCTTCACCCACTCTTTCCTAATGGCCATTTTGTTCTTCCTGATACAAATGTTTTCTTATCTCAGGTAAGTTCATTTGGTTTTTCGCTGGTCTTATAATCTGACCGTCATTCCCCTCAGATGGACCTTATTGAAAGTCCACTGTTTACACCACCGATTATCCTCCTACAAACAGTCATCGAGGAAGTCAGGCATCGCTCCTTGCCGCTTTATAATCGCCTTAAAGCGTTGACGAGAATGGACGACAAGCGGATATGGGTTTTTTATAACGAATATAGGTCGTGAGTCCCTCTCCCGCAAATTTTCACTCTCCTTCCAATTCAAGACTCAGGGAAACAGCTATCATTCGGGAGGAAGGCGAAACACCCAATGATCGGAACGATAGAGGTATGCTTGCTTCGTCCATCATTGCAAGCATTTTAACATTGGATTAGGCATCAGGAAAGCCACAGAATGGTACAATTCACATATCAGTCTCAATCGACCTCCCATTCGCGGTCGACCAGCGCCAAAGTTGCCTACCGTTGTTCTCATGACAGAGGATGCTGCAAACAGACAAAAGGCGGAACAAGCGGGTATCGCTTCGATCTCCGTGCGAAAGTACGTCGAAGGGGTAAAGGACGCCAATCAGCTGTTGGATCTACTCGCAGCAGCTGGAGCAGAAGACATTGAACCTACCAAGGCAGTGGCAGGTCGCCAGGCTTTATATCCCGATGTAAGTCTTTTGTCTCACATTTTCCTTGATTTTGGCTCACAATGGTATAGTACTTACCTGCGGCAATGTTAAATGCTGGCGTCAAGTCCGGAGAACTGTATCAGGGCCACTTCAATGCCAATCAATACAACTACTTAGAGGGCAGCGTCCCTGTACCCGCATTCAGTAAACCTGTGTTGCTCATTGGTCGAGAGAACATGAACAGGGCTGTTCAGGGTGACGTGGTTGTTGTAGAAGTGTTTGACAAGAAGGAGTGGAAAGCTCCTGCGGACGAGGTGGTGGACCAAGATAGTAAGTATTCTATGTTGATATCATAGAGTCGTCTCTAACTGACCTTTTGATTTAGCCGCGTTGAAGAACGACGATGCTGAAGACTCTGGAGACGAAGGCGAAGGCGAGGGCAATGAGTCTGTAGCTCGAGAAAAGAAGCTCTTGGAGTCAGAGAAACGTAGTTCTGAGAAGCAACCCACGGGCCGTATCGTAGGTGTCATCAAGCGCAACTGGCGAGCGTAGGTTTTTTTTTCTCTCGCTCTCTCAGTTGAACTAAGGCACTCGCTTCACAGCTATGTATGCCACATCGACAGCACTTCTCTCACATCTTCAAACGCCACCTCTCTTTCCCTTCAAACTGTCTTTGCCACACCAGTATCAAGACTTCTTCCTCGCATCAGGCTCCGTACTCGACAAGCCCCCATCCTAATCGGACAAAAGATCCTCGTCACGATCGACAGGTGGGATACAACGTCTCGGTACCCTGAAGGACACTTCGTGCGTGCTTTAGGGAAGGTTGAGAGCAAAGAAGCAGAACAGGAGAGTTTGTTACTGGAGTTTGAGGTGCCTTATCGGCCATTTGGAAAAGCGATTTTGGATTGCTTGCCACCTCAGGGAGAGCAGTGGGTTGTCCCTCCCAAAAGCCCTGATAGCCCCGAGTGGAAGGATAGAGAGGATTTGCGAGGATTGATCATTTGCAGTATTGATCCGCCAAGTTAGTGGAGAGGTCGACATCTCTGCGTGATGCACTGATTTATTGTTATGCAGATTGTCAGGATATCGACGATGCATTGCATGCTCGCAAGTTACCTAACGGAAACATCGAAGCTGGAGTCCGTAAGTACTCTTGCGAACAGAGTTCATAAGTCACATATTTGAACTTTTATACAGATATCGCTGACGTTTCCCACTTCGTACACCCTGATAATCCAATGGACAGTGAAGCTGCTTCTCGAGGAACGACGGTTTACCTCGTAGACAAACGCATTGACATGCTTCCGTCCCTTTTGGGGACTAACCTATGCTCACTGCGCCCATTCGTCGAACGATTGGCATTTTCTGCAATATGGGTAATGTGTCCTTGCGGCCTTTCTGCGATTGTGCTGGAGTTGATGTTTTTATAGGAAATGACGCCGGAAGCAGAGATTGTTAATGTTCGGTTCACGAAGTCCGTTATCGCGTCCAAAGCTGCTTTCACCTATGAGGAGGCACAAATCCGTAAAGACGACCCGTACGTCCTTCTTTTACTTTCTGATACGCAGCACATCTCGAACAGGATGTACCACAGGCACCAACAAGACGAGCTAACGCAAAGCATCCGACTCCTCAACTCCCTCGCACTCAAACTCAAAGCAGGGCGCATGGCAGCAGGCGCCCTCAATCTCGCCTCACCCGAAGTCAAGATTCAGCTGGACACATCCGAGTCCTCCGACCCCATCGACGTGGAACAGAAAGAACTAAGGGAGACGAACAGTTTAGTCGAAGAGTTCATGTTACTCGCCAACATCAGCGTAGCGCGCAAAATTCAGGAAACGTTCCCGCAGACGGCGGTTTTGAGGAGACATTTACCGCCCCCACGAACGAATTTCGAAAAGTTGCAGGATATATTGATGAAGAGGAAGGGAATGAAGTTGGATGTGTCGAGTTCGGGGGCGTTGGCTGCTTCGTTGGATCTTTGTGTTGTAAGTTGTTCTTCTATGTTTCTTTTCGTTACCCTCGTGCTAAGTGAGAGCCTTGAAGGATCCGGAATTACCAGCGTTCAACACACTTGTAAGAATAATGGCTACAAGGTGCATGCTTTCCGCAGAGTACTTCTGCTCAGGCAGTGTGGCTCGAGATACGTTTGGTCATTACGGGCTCGCCAGTCCTATATACACCCATTTCACCAGTCCCATCCGTCGATACGCAGGTCCGTGCCCACTCTCTTCTTCTTCCTTGACCTTCATCTCACCTCACGGTCTCCATCGTATCTAGACGTTCTAGCTCACAGACAACTAGCAGCAGCCATCGGCTACACACCCCTGCACGCAACCCTCCACTCCAAAACGCACGTCGAGCGCGTGCTGGACGTTGTTAACCGAAAACACCGCATGGCACAGATGGCAGGCCGAGCGTCTGTGGAGTTTTATGTTGGTCTGGCGCTCAAGAATCGGGGGGAGAGGGAGAAGGAGAAGAAGGGTACGGTTGGGGAGGTGAGGGAGGAGGCATTTGTGATCAGGACGTTTAGGAATGGGTTGGGGGTGTTTGTGTCAAAGTGAGCACACAAAGCCGTTATATCTCCCTCGCTGGCAGCTGACTGACTGATTGTGCGATGGTAGATTGGGTATTGAAGGACTGGTGATGTTCAAGCGCGATAACCAGTTCGACGCGGACAATTATACGATTACGGTACCCTCTGGTGGTGGGAAGGATGTTACGATATCGGTGTTTGATAAGGTGGAGGTGAGCATTGAAGTGGAGAAGGATAAAAATACCCAGAGGGGGCGTGTAAAAATGACTCTTGTCCATCCTGTTGATTCGAGGTCGTTGTAGTCAATGCATATTTTTGCTCACGCTCTCGGATGGATGGAATACAGCCAAGAGCTCGCTGAGCATCCTAGCTTGGTCTAGCATTACAATATAAACCCGGTGTAAAATACAATCAATAACACGAAGGAAAACGAGGTTACAGCGCTGTGCCGCGCTCGAAGCTGGCCCGAATCTCTGATGTATATTTGTCGTAGTACCGCGCAATCTGTATGACAACAACGATAAGGCAAATTGAATTGGCAAATTGACGAAAAGAAACCCCACCTTTTTGTTGAACACCCGATTGTGTTCGTTGATATAAGTGATATCGCCTTCCTCCTCGTTGAGCCTCTTTCTTGAGAATTTGCCCTTCTTGTCAATGCTGGAAGTAAGAAGGTTAGTTAGGAACAAGGGGGAGAGAGTCGAGTAAAACGCACTCCTTGTTGATCTTGCCGACCACGCGGTCAATCGCTTCTTCTGAGGGTTTATTGTCACCATATATCAGAGTATTCGCGTCTCTGTACAAGTTCTCCGATGCTAATTTCTGTTCTTGGCTCGACACGGCCATCTAGAGTAAAAGTGAGAACTTGGAAAAAGGAAGAGTGGCAAGAGGTGACACGTACCTGGAGGGCAGAAGCAGACGTAGCAGCAGAGGGGTTGAACCCGACCAAGGCACCAGGTGCATAACCCATCGCAATGGCTTTTTGCTTATTGTATGCCTCCATATCCGGTTTAATAAGGTCCAAATCCTTCTTATATCTCCTCCTAGCAGCATGAGCGTCATCTATCAAAGACCATCCAATCAGTCAGTCCCACCCAAGAAAAATAAGAAAAACCCACCATGAAACTCGAAATCCGCCCTCCTTGCCTTCCTCGCAAGCTTCTTCTCCCACTCATCGTTCTCCTCAATCGTCCACCCCCAATTCTTCGCACGCTCCACGTCCTCGCCGCGTTCCTCCGCGTCAGCCTTGGAACGAAGGACTTCGGCGAGTTTGCGTTGTTTCTCGAGCCGCGCGGCGTCTCGGCCTGTTAGTTTGGCTTTTGAGGCTTCTTCGACTAGGGAGGCGCGGTTGGCTTTTGAGGATGCTGCCTGTAATTGTTGTTAGTGATGGCAGGAAAGGGGGCATGTGGGGTACGAACGATCTTTTTTCGGAGCTGTTCCATTTTGGCCTTGCGTTCTTCCATCGTAAGTGTCGACCCGTTCGTTGTAGGTGTTCCTTGACCACTGCTACTTGGATCCGCAGCACGCCCACTCTTGCTCGTACTACTACTACCACTTTCCCCGTCCACCTCCACGCCCGTCATAGTCATCTCCTCGACAAACTCCTGTGCCGCTTCTACCACGTCCACTACCTTTTCCACTGCCGCTTCCAGTGCGTGTTCTGCGCTTGTTGCTAGTGATGATGAGGAAGGTTCGGGCTCGTCGGTTTGCATTGGCTCGGGGGCATCTGTGACCTCGACTTCGGGCTCTGGCTCGGCTTTGGCGGCCTTTTTGCCCTTTTTGCTTGTTCGTTTTGAGCTTCGTTGGGCTGGCATGATGGATAAGGAAAGAAGTGGGGATAGGTGGAGGGTATGCGATGGTAGTTGTCTTGAACAGACGGGCTTTCAGTAACCTGTTCAACTCTAAACTAATTCCCACGATTATAATTGCACACATTTATTGCATTGAACAGATACAAGTTTATATATAACAAGAGCGACACTATCAAACACGTTGTATGCAGGCATTGTCGGCAACCTAAGAGGAGAGAAGAAAAGAGTCAGTTTTTGCTTCGAAAACGACGAACTATGAAGAGAGAGAAAAAGAGTCAGAATTGCAGAAGTTGGATCATCAAAGAGGTTTTACGCCCTAAGACTGTTGAGCTTGATATGTGATTCGTTGTTCATCACAAAAACGAAGACGAATTGGAAGAGAACTCACAATATGTGTCGGTGTCGTTGAAGAAAAAAAAGTTGGAACTTGGTGGGGTTTTTATATCAACTCAGTTCAAACTCCGCCGAAAGCTCGTTATCTCCGTCAGACTCAATAATTGGCTGTTAACGATGTCAACATCCCCAAGTCGACCCAAAGGCCCACCCACGAAACCCAAAAAAGAAAGAGAACGTGAGAGGGAACGTGAGCGCAAGGAGAAAGCACTCCAACAATCAATTGAACGTCTAAAGACAGTCGTTCGCCGGCTACCACCCAATCTGCCCGAGGACGTCTTCTGGCAGAGCGTACAGCCCTGGGTGACAGAAGAATCTGTCTCTTGGAAAGTGTTTTATGCTGGTAAATCTAGGAAGCGGTACGTGCTTCCTAACTCTTCATTCCCTACCTCAAAATCTAATCTGGTGAGATAGGTTATCGAAGGAGAATATCCCTTCACGAGCTTACATCGCGTTCAAGAGCGAGGAAAAGCTCGCCCAATTTAGCAGGGAATACGATGGTCATTTGTTTCGAGATAAAGCAGGTAAGCGTACATGTTACCGCTTTTTTGCTGGACGGAGGGTTTATGGAAGGAACTTGTGCTCAGGCAATGAGTCGTATGCGATCGTAGAGTTCGCTCCGTACCAGAAAGTTCCTACGGAGAAACGAAAGCCAGATGCTCGGAATGCAACTATTGAGAAAGGTATGCAGTTACACTTTCTAGTAGCTCGCTGCAGCCGTTAACTATCTGTTAGACGAAGACTATATATCTTTCATCGACTCTCTAAACGCATCAGCAAACGCAGAACCACCCACCCTCGAAGCACTCAGTTCGTCCTATCTCCTTCCATCTCCCCATCTATTTCTAACTTTCTCTATCAATATCTCACAGTCGCTTCAACCCAACAAGCACCCCAACCCAAAACCACACCCCTCCTCGAAGCCCTCAAAGCCGAAAAATCAGCAAATAAAGATAAAGAAGCCATCCTCCGCAACCACGCACACTACAAAGACCAACTCCCGGGAGCTCTTCTTGCTCGGAAAGACGATAAGAAGAAAGTACCCCCCGCTGTTCAAGCGCAGAAAGTAGCTGCTGAAGCAGCAGCGGGAAATAAGAAGGCGGCTGGGAAGAAACCGCAGGTTGCACCATCCCCCGCAGCAGCATTGAACCAGAACCAGAACAAGCCGGGACAGGTGGGATTACCAAAATCCGTCGCAGGCCCTTCTAATCTCGGTGCAAAACCACCACCCAAACCTGCACGAGCACCACGAGCACCCCCTCCTCCTTCACAACCTAAACCGCAGAACGTACCTATCACTGCGATTCAACAACAGCCAGGACCCTCAACCCCCCAACAACAACCAGCGTCATCAGATGGCACAACGACCCCCACCCCGCGGCGGACGCGCCCCGTTATAGGTCTAGGATCGAGGCAGTTCGAGGCTGCGCTTAGTGGTGTGGCTGGTGGGAAGTCTAGACGCGAACGGGAACGGGAGAGGGAGAGGGAAAGAGAAAAGGAGAGGGAAGAGGGCGCCGTTACGCCTACTGCGGCCTTCGTTCCCGCTCCTGGGTTGGCACTGATGGCTAGTAACATCAAGGAGGCGCCAGGGAAACCCGCCGGACCACCCACTTCGCCTCGCAGAGGGAGGAGGGGGAGTCATGGAGGGGGAGGTGGTGGGAGTGGTGGTGGTGGAATTGGCAGGCCTCCTTCTGCTGCTTCTGACACGAAAGCTCCGGGGATTATACAACGCGCGGATGCGCCGTTGATCGTGCAGAGGGATGTGCCTGTTGTTGTTGGGCCACCTGTTGTTAACCCAGTTCAGATTCCCATGGGCGTGGGTCCTGGGAGAGGGGGTGGAGGTGGGCTACGGCGTGGGAGGGGTGGTGGAGGGAGGGGACGGGGTGGTGTACCAAGGGGAGGGTGATATTTTTGAAGAATCCCTCTCTTCTTTTTTTTTAGAGGTTCTCTCAAAGAGGGAACGGTTATCGGTGGAATAACGGCCGTGGTAGGGGGATATCCTCCTTCTATTTGAGATTTTCCAAACTCGAAGCTCGAAGGGAGTTGTGGAGATGGCGGTGGCTTGTACAATACAGTTTGTTGACTTTACGATTAAGGAGGAAGATCATATCATGACGGACGAATGCGTTTGAGAATTCGAATTCAAACAACCATCAAAGATACTAGGTAGGTAACAAAATACAACTGTCTGTTCAGAATACAGGCTGCTCAGCATATGCCTCTGGTTGCTGGTAAGCAGCATCGGGCGCCGCGTACTCCTCAGTGGGCGCAGCAGCAGCCACGGGGACGGAGTATGGCTCCCGTTGCTCTGACGAGGGCTCTGAAGGGATTTTGTCGACGGGAGGCTCGAGGATCTGGACGGAATCGGGGAGGGGTTTGCGTGGGCCTGTTTGGCCATCGGGGTCTGACCCTTTCATGCTAAGAGAACGAGTTTAGTTTGACAATAGGTGGGTACCAATGGTAAAACTTACATTTTAACTTTGATACCCAAAACACCCTGACGAAGCAAAACATGGCGGACGGCGTAGTCGACAAAGTCGCGGGCGGGTTGACCAGAGTGGATCATGAACCCGTCAGTGAACTTCATTGATTTGGCACGGGCTGCGCGGAGTTTGCCTGATACGACGACTTCGCAGCCTTTGGCGCCTGATTCCATGACGAAGCGGAGGACACCGTAGCATGCGCTGTCATAGTAAAGTTGAGTCAGCCACGGTTCCGAGTTATCTGTGTGAAGGAAGGAAGGGCGTACCGACGAACGGCAAGCCCACCAAGGAGCTTGTACCTCAAGCTCTCACACTGCGCAATGGCAGACAACCCACGGTACTGCACCTTCTCTGCGTACAGCTCAAGCGAGTTTTCGGGGAACTTGAAGCGTTTTTGGACGAGGGCGGTGAGTTCGCGGATTCGGCGGCCCTTTTCGCCGAGGACTTCTTGGGTGTGCGTGGCGCGGATGATGATCTACATAGCAGGGGATTCTAGGTCAGTAACTGAACGTCGAGGGCGATGAAGGAAGGGGTGTATACGGTACCTCTGTACGAGCGTGGGTAACACGGACGTCGCAGCCAGAGTAACCCTCCTCTGCCAACTCGCGGGTGAAGAATTCATTGAGCTCGGCGCGAAATACACCGTCAGCGACGAACTTTCGCTTTTTGCTGATTTGGGAGGACATTGTGGGGCTTGAGGGTGCTTGAGGACGACGACGACGGCGACGATATCGATAATTGAATACAATCAGGTGTGGCTTGTCAGCTGTACAGTACCATAGGCATTTTCCAGATCATGTGATCTCTGATGATGAGCAGGCCACGCTAGTCGTTTACTTACCACCTACGATTTCACCTGAATATCACTAGTTTAAACCTCGTCCGCGACTTCAAGCGCCCTCTTGCCTTCTAAGCCTTCTGAACCTTCCGTTGAAACGTTGAATTTTGAAGCTCAGTCGAAAGCCGAATTATCTGGTCTTCCGCCTCCAGTCAGCCGCCTCACTCGTTGCAGCGCAGTGCGATGGTTTTTTGACGCACTTTTGAATTCAGATCGCAATGGATAATAGCCTTGAAAGTAATTTGGAAACCGAAAACAACTCCGAAGCCTCGACGACCTCCTCATCAACTCTGGCCAACAAACTTCCGCCCGAACTCCTCGCGCACACCTTTAAAATGGCACAAGCCATGTTCTCTCCATTTGAGCCACATTTGGCCAGGCGCTTTCCTTTCGTCCTGGGGAAGGTGTCGCGCTATTGGCGCCAAGTCACCTATGGGGTAGCTACGCTGTGGTCGAACGTGGATGTCACTACAATTGACGAAGATCTTGACAGTTTACAGTTCTACCTTGGCAGATCTAAGGACTCCCCTATCGATCTTAAGATCACCATTCTACCGACTCTAAGCCCCATTAGCCCGCTCATAGGTATCTTACAACCTCATTACCGACGTTGCCGTTCCATCAGAGTCACGTCTCAACTCTTTCACGCATTCCCCGGACTGGTTTTGAAGCTTCTTGTCTCGATGTGCCAAGGCCATTATGCAATGCTCCAACACATCTGTGTAGAGGGCGAGGATGTGCGTCTGCGTCCAGAACCGTGGGCAATTGTAGCTGACGCTGTTAACCTGACGAGTGTACGCCTAAGAGGTCTGGGTTTGAAGTATTGCCGCCCTCCTCTTACGGCTGTAACACAGCTGCATATGGCGGCCTCAGATCACCAGATTCTCGAGTACACTGACTTCTCCAAAATGTTACAGTCCTGTCGATCCTTGGTCACATTGTGTGTCTACGACGATTTCATTCTCAAATGGCCTACCGATCCCCACGACACCTATGACATGCCCTTCCTCCGTTACGTACGCATCTTCGGAGATTTTTCAGGAGTTTCACAACTTCTACTTTCTATATCTGCCCCAGATTTGGAGGAACTCACCATCGCTTCAATTGTTCTGGGCGACCTCACCAAACTCAGGAGGGAAACTAGAAATGCTCCTCGATTTCCGGCGTTGAAATCATTCACCCTTGCGCCTCGTGATGACGACGGTATGCTCTTGACGACTGTAGCCGACGCCAATGCTTGCTTCCCAGGGATCAAGTTACTTATCCTTCCCGATTATGATGGACTTTCTTTTGCAAAGTCTTTCATTACGACAGACTCTTGGCTATTTTGGCCTGAGCTCAATGGTCTCGCTGTCCGTGACATTGATGACCAAGATTTGTTATATGAGTTTGTCCAGTACCGCCAACGATTAGGTGTGCCCTTACGCTCGCTGTACCTGGATTCGGGGTCAATGTCAAGACTGACTCGAATGGAGTGGCTAAAGGATCAATTGTCGGTGGTGGAGGCAGATCCATGGCAGATGCAATGTGAGGATGCACCGTTTTTATACACATGAAGCCCGTTTTCTTTGCGTTTTCTCTGAGCGGCGTGAGGGGCAACGAGGCTTCTTGATCCCTTCCTTGGTCATGTCTGCTAGTTAGATCTTTTTCTTTTTTCTGGGTTCAGGCATTGTGTATGAAAGCTTTTGAAGCAACCGACCACTTTTTCAGTTCGCATCGAGTTGCCATGTATTTGGCGAAACATGATCCGAGGACATGGGCACATCCATAGTCCTACACTCAGCCATACCATCCACCGCCGCATCACTAATGGCCAACTTAAATCGAAATGAAGGAACCGTAGATATATTGACGCGACGAGCTGTTTCAAGTTCATAGATTGTATAACAAATTTCTGACACGGTTCGGGGGGCGTGATATGGATTTTGGTAAGTATTACTATATATTCCGACCTGTGTCATGCTCTCATCCAATTTCTCCGAAAATAAAAATATAGTTTTACTACTTGTTGTATAAATATACACTCCCTCAAATATTTTCAGAGTGCACATCGCACTTGTTGGAGACCGATTTGCAAGAACCAAGTTGCAAAACTAGGCACATGATATATTTCTATGGCGGATTCAGACGACAGAGCTACCTATGAAGTATACGACTACATCAAGATTAGGAGCAGCACCTGTGATCAATGCCGTTACACAAATGTTCAAGATTTGGGCTGGCATAGAGGACAGCAGCGCCAAGCGTCCAGCTCAAGCGACCGTTACTGCCGTTGTAAGGTGTGAGTAGCACGCTTTTCGGAGAGATCTGAAAGCCCCACTCCAGCACCTGATGCAGCCAGGCGCCTGCAAAATAATTGCTGTCGAAGAACTGTTCGTTCTTCTTCTTCGTTCCTTCGGGGTATTCACCATGCTTCTTTTCGCGGCTTGTCTCCAACGCTTTCAAGAACTTGTCAAGGTCGAGATTGTAGCCATCATCACCCCCCAGACGCGTGGCATGCCAAAAAACGCTCCCGCCAATGACCTCAGGGTCATCGCTGTCTCTGTGCAAGATGGCCGCGAGATTATCCAGGATTTGCATCCTTTCCAGCGCCTTGTAACCGCGGTCTTCCAAGATGTGTAAGTCGTCAATAGCCTGAGCGGCCACGCCCATTACCAGTTGTCGAGTGTTGTCCGTGTACTCCATGCCGCATACCCTCCAGTCATGTTGGATATCTTTTGAGTACCCTGCACGCCGACTAGGATCATAGAGAATCTAGTCAAAGATCACCATCACTCTCTGATCGATGACGATACGCGAGCACACATACCTTCTTATCGCCCGCTTTAAGACCCGGATTGAATTTCGGCACAGGCACATCGTCCTCGTCGTCGTTCAGTGATATCTGGGCTAAGATCAGCCTCAATTCCTCTGCAAGGGGCAATACCCAAGCACACATACCTTGTTTTCGGTAAGCGCTTTCAAGTACGCCTCGTACCCAACATTCACCCCCAAAGGGAATGATGCCAGAAACACGTTCCTGTCCCCAATTTCCTCTACTTTCGCAACCCGAGTATCGTGAACTCCAATAGACAAAGCCACCCTATTTGCGGCACTGACAGGGTTCGTCCACATTTCGGCCCGTATCTCCGCCGCCTCAACGTCCAACTTGGCCATTTTCAAGTTCACCATAAGTGCGACATCCGAAGCACCCTGCTTCTCAACTTTCGTCTGGGCAGAATCCTCTTCTGCTTTCGAAGTATTGATGGCCGCAACATCCTCGTCAGCGTTGCCATTTTCCGCAACCTCATCCACCAAGAATGCGATCTGCGCGCTAGCCCCGCCTATCTCCACATATTTCCGGTAATCGGATAGAGCGTGCCCTTGTGAGTAATTGGCCGCAACCCAACCAAATAATGCCTCCTTCGCGCCGTCAATGGCCTCCATACTCTCATCAGCACCGTCAGTAACTCCATTGTCACCTGCAACCCGCTTCTTTGGTTTGCTGAACGTGTACCCGCCGTCGTATTCGCCGTAGTAGACGAAGTCCTCCAAGAATTCGAACAGGGCATCTCGTAGGGATTTCTCAAGTGACCGCACGCCACCCGTAGCATATAAACATAAAGTGACGTCGCTGAGTTCGTCGACACCCTTCTTTTTGAGGACCTCTTCGACTTTGTCGAGTACGCCCTTGAGGTATACCTTGAGGTTGGCCTCGTCAACGACGGCCTTCTTAACGACGTCCTCCCATTTGACAAATTTGTCGATACCTGCCTGGATGTTATATTTGTACCATGATGCAAGAAGATAAAGCTGAACCTTGCTTGTTGTTCCCTTCGACGGCGGTCCCGTTGTTGCGAAGCACCTCGGCAACTTTGGCGTTGTAAATCCGTGGTCCGTCACGCTCATAGCTACGATAAGCATAGATGAATGGGCGGGTGCCGCTTGATCCTGCGTCCACGATTACAATGTCTGGACGCAGTAGGGATCAGTTACTGTTTCAAACTAGCTGGGATCTGGGGCACTCACAAGACGTCATGGAAGTACTAGTAGATAGAGTGCAACGTGCGGTGTCGTTAAATTTCGAGAGTGAACACTAGCTCTTGTGAGTAAGTGAATGGTGGGGAACGAAGCGGAATCCGTGGTATTTAAGCAAAAAGGCCACTCATATCTGATCATGGTGCTTGACAGCATCGATGAAATGCTGAATCGATGGGACCTGTGAGATAATGGACGTCAAGCTTCAAGCGCATGGTAGGCTTGAAGCTAGCTTGAAGTTGAGTCACCTGAAGAGCACCATCTAATTTTAGCAAGGTCACTCTTTGTCACGTGCTTGGTGAAAATTCGAACACTTCTCCGACGACAACGACAGAAAAGTGAACGGTTTTCGACCTCGAAGACGAGCAAAAGCAACTAGCATCGATGAAGAAAAGAAATCAAAAGCAAGGCGTGGTACCAGGTAACACTCACCCAAAACCCTAGACTCGCAAGCCAGTCACGCTCGCAAGCTCTATGTCACAATAATGTTATGCGTTACTTACGAGGCACATGACAAGAAAGTGGAGAGGCGCATCGCCCCTTTGGCCTGTAGGTTGTTTGTACTTGTTGTATTACTGCCAATTTCTTTGATTTTCACGGAAATCATCTTTTTTAGCACATGGCCTCTTCTTTGGGTCAGATTTATGGCCAAATCGAATCAAATATCAATTCCGCAGGGAGTCTTCGGACTCGTTTTTTTAAATTCGGGCGTGGGACCAGGAATTTAATCGAAAAATGACATTTAGAAAACACATTTTAAAAAAGTAGTCCGAAGTCTCCCTCCAGCAATGCTAGATCATCATTTTTACGTGCTCATTTTGAGGCAAACGCGAGGGAGGAAAGAGAAAGGCTGTAATAATTGCTGATTGGCTACAAGACCAATTAATGGATTACATAATACACGTCAAGAACGCGTCAAAAGCATACTGACTATGCAAAATCACATCCCATAACACTGAATATCCTGCGGCATCCTCCTATACCTACAGAAGAGGTTACTTTCTTACCTCACATGTCCCAAAATTTGAAAGCATGAATGTTGACAATGGGAAAGACTCTGTGGAGGTCACATGGAGAGGGTGCCATTGAAGAGCACATGAAGCCAAAGCCCAAGGGGGTCTGTGAGCTGATTAAGGTTGTCGCTAGGTTTCTTGCTTGAGGATACAAGGGAAATAGCAGGACAGGTACTTCCTGGGATGGACACCAACAATCAAACTGCAGGAGAGAACTTATATGAGTCAGACAACAACAATTTCTGGATTAGATTTTGATATACTATATGTTACATGTTTCATACACAGCTCTACAGGGTAGAATGCCTGAAATACCTTGAACTTTCGTTTCGAAGTGGATGCAAGCGCGATTTGCCAGTTTCGAGGTGGCTGTGCACTGACTAAGCAGCCGCAACCATTTAGGGATGGTGCGCCTCTCCAAAGAAAGGGGCGAGCTTGCTTTTCGAATTGAGGAGTCATGCGAGTCAATTATGTAATCGAAAAGCTGGCTGGGGACGAGCCTACCAAAACCCGACTCCCACAGCTGTCACCTTCAACCCCGCGCCGCCAACCCATGACCTGGGTCTGACAGGACCCTCAGTAAAATCAGCTCACACTGCGCAGTCTGCCTGTAGTCTGTACAATGACAATGACAGTACTGTACATGACTGAAAGCAAGTGATTCAATTCAGTTCGCAGTTGCCATGTATTCATTTCAGAAAAGTATGGGCTCCTCGTCCTACACACAACTGTGTCACCCCACTAATGGCCCACTATAAATGAACTGAAAAGTCCGGCAGCGACTGGACTGCATACGAACTAATCGCATACAATATTCAAGTCATTCGACAGACGAAACAAGAATTCTTCGGCGTCCATGATCTTCCTGCGCCCTCGAACCCTACCCTTGTCGCTTTCATGACGACTCAGCTTCGAAGAGATGCGCGAGATGAGGCGACGAGGAAGTTGTTGCATTTCCTGGATCTGGAAGTGAATGCCGAGCCGGGATATGAAGCGGCATCTCAGAACTTGGTGGCGAGACTGTTGGAAACGCTTGGATATGACTCCGTTGGCAGGATTATTTTCTTCCGACGTACCATACCCCTTCTTATCTGTGGAGTGGATTCCGTCGCAGAGCCCGATTTCTGTCTTTTGAAGGGTGACGCGATTCTGCTCATGGTGCAACGCAGGTCAAGTCTCAATGACCCCGAGCCTTTCATCATTGCAGCGGCCATTGCTGCCTACAACGCGATCACCTCCCCCCTCTCCCCGCTATCGCTTTTCCCGCCATCGCGCTTACCAACACCAACTTCATGTTCTACAAGTCACTGTCACAGCTGAACTCTGCCGCGCTGTTGCGTCGGGAATTTATCCTGCTACTAAAACGGAGGTCTTTAGATATGTCCCCGTGCTCCCCAGCTACCTACATCCTCCGACGTACCCTCTCAAGAACAGACCAGTACTTTTGGCGTGCCTGGAAGCTTTCAAACAGGTTATAGAGAATTAGGGTCGTATGGATGCGCTCACTTTGATGTTGGCCACATAATACTTTTTGGCGTTCAAAAAAAGCTTCGGGTTCTGATATAATTACTCAAGAATTCTCTCATTCGGCCTTGGTCTTGCCTTGATTCCAACTGCTCTTACTAAATTTGTTCGCCTCCATCTGTACTACTACTCGATGGCCATCACCTTCAACTTGGATAATTTCTGTTGCAAACGGCCACTTCGAATTCAAGAGAAGATCAAGAAGGTATGTCATCAGTCCTTGTACAAAAGTCATGCACCAGGTTACACCACCGCCAGTATACGCTCAACATCAAAGGAATGGAACTCATGAATGGACAACCCCCTCCCATGGCCAGAACATGAAGGATAACTTCCTTTTTGGCTTTTTTTACCAGTTTTGCATCAATCCCCCTCAAACCCCGCCGCATGCTTGCATCCTGCCTTTCCGAGATGACATTTTCCATTCAGAGCCTCATGGTTTCATTCATCAAGAACTTGGAAGGAAGGAAGGCGCTCATGAATCATGGAGACCCCCCACTAGTCCCGCGAAGGCACTGGGCACTGACAGCGAGTCTTGACTCTTGAATGGATGGTTATATATGAACGGACCTCGGCTGTTAATCCCACCAATAGCCCCCATCCCGCTCGCCTTCCTTATCGTCTCGTCTCGTCTTGTCCCAGTTATCAGTCATGTCCCGCTATCCTTACCGTCACTCAACCTACTTCACGCGATCTGACGCGCTTGAGACGTCCAGCGAGCTACCTGTACGCTCCTTGCTCACTCGTATATAACAAAAAGCTAATGGTGACTAGCCCATGAACAGCAGAGAAGACATCCTACAGGATCTATTCATGAACGATCCCAGTAATTTCCATCACAAAGAGGTGACGCCCGTCCAAAAACTGGAGAGCGTGGGTCGAAGGTTGAAGGTGTGTCTTGCTTACAGAGCGGTTTTGCATTATTTAATGTCACTGAAATTCATCCTAGGACATGAAGAAGGGATTTCGGACAAGTATGATCGCTTTCGGGCATAGCTTCCGGAGACGAAGGACGGACAGCACCACTCGACTTCTGTAATTCACGCCAATCGTGAATGAAGATGTGATACCCCAAGCTTGGGACGCTTTTAACTTATAGAACTATTTAATACAACACACTCCTTTGAATCCATTCTTTTTGGTCACAGCGACTTGTTGACGGCTCCCTGGTAAACTGGTCAAAAGAAAAAATACCCGGTAACCCAGGACAAATAATCAGCTATAGGGTTCATAGTGAACTTTTAACAATCTCTGGTTCAAAATAATGGACAGAATGAGTAGGGAGGATACAGAACATACCTTCTCTCGAGATCTCGAACTTGGATCTGCCTGTCCTGATCCAGTTAGTCTCGCCCAGGAGCGTTCAAGTTCTCGTCAGTCAACACGCAGTTCTTCACCGCGAACACATCCCCATCTTCCGCAGTACCGGACTTCCAAAACCTTCTACTTATCTTGATGCTCAGAAAATTTTGATCACAGAACAAGAAATGAAGTGGCAGCTGACTTTGACGTTCATGGCGTCTCCACTACTGAAACCCCACTCCATAGCACTCTGTCCCCTACTAGGCTTTCCTGCAGTAAGGTTATCCCTCGACCCACTGAACAAACCCCCGGCGGCACGTGTGGGGTGTACATGGCAAAGCGTTGCAGTTGAAGACATCGTCGACGACATATCTCCCCTCTCCGAAGAGAAGTCCCATGATTAGGATCGATCGCTCTCTTTGCGGTCAGGCTACCGTCGGAAGGCAGGAACAAACTCCGTAATGAGGAAGATTTCTAGACAGATTTGACAGGAAGCGCTGGGAGCGTGTAGTAGTGACCATAAATTAAACGAACGTGTTGATATCGAACAGTTTAGCCATGGAGTGCACGACTGGCTGGCGCTCCATGAGTCCGAGCGATCAATTTCGGAAGGGAGAACCAGCACCCCAAAATAACAGATATGGCAGTGCTGGGGAGTGGGTTTTCAGGATTGGCATTCTCATAAGGGCATGTGAACATCCAGGACGGGAAGAAACCCCGTCTTAACCCACTCAGAAACTTCATTCTCCTTTATGTCATCTTCGTCAACATCAATATTAGTAGGATGATACTGACCTTCATATCATGATCGCAGTAACCACAGATCCCCATCATCATCTTCAAACTATGGCTTGTGCGTTAACACATCCACTCATTTGCCTAGCGTATTGTTCCCTGACATCGCCATGCACCGTGTAGCCAACTTCCAGGTCAAAAACAACGGTAGCATCGACATTTTCGTTAATCTGGAAGAACCGGTCCCCCCTGGCGAAACATCCCCACCATTCAGTTCTTCTGGGACGTACATCATCCGGTCGACACTTGAGAATTCGCCACTCCCCCCGCGTGAGATTGTTGTCACATTCTCTCCAGCAGAGACATTCGAAGCCAAGGCGATCAACGGACCTAATTTGAATGTTGACTTTATTGTGAAGTTCGATTTCAAGAAAGGCGATCTTATTTCGTCGTTGAACCCAGTCTAGAATGCTCATTATTGCCAGCTTGAACGGGTCAGTAAGATCTAGGCAGAATAGAATTGTTGGCTGAGCTCACAGTGGTTCACATATGTACTTGTATTCCCGCGTTCATGAAACCTTATCGCTGTTTCGTTGTTGTCACCACAATAATTTAATCACTCCTTCCGCAGCGTCAAGGGTAAATTAAACGGCTCAATGAGGATGAAAAACTTCAAGAAAGCGGCTGCTTACCACCAACTGATACCAGAATACTCTCCGAAGTCCCAGATGGATGCAGAGCCGATATTGCTGAAGGGGAAATACTCCACTCTGATGCGCAATTTGGACAGGATGCGCCGGAAATGAGACGGACAAAAAACCCGAAATGCCCGATTTTGGGAACCAGCCTTCAAGGGGACTTTAAGGGGACCTGCAGGCGCAGGTGAGGACCGAATAGAGCAGCATCCACCACACGTGAGAAGCATGGGAGCCTATAAAGGGGGCGAGTTCAGACAGTTCCGCAGGGGATCAAAGTTCGATGGCGTCCAACCATACAACCATCCTCGCCGACAACATAACTCTCATAAACGACCTTCTCGCGGACCTTCTTCCTGATGCGTGCAATCCTCGGGCCATGACATTGGCTGTTGACCTTGAGGGCATCGATTTATGTCGGCATGGCAAAATATCTCTAGTTCAGATCATGTCGAGCGTTTCGGAAGTGGTGTGGTTAGTTGATGTGACGACCCTTGGGAGCCAGGCGTTCGACCATGTTGATCCATACGGAAGGACGCTGCGAATGATTTTGGAGGACACTGGAATAAAGAAGGTATTTAATTTGTTTTGCTGAGTGCGAGATCCAGCACTTACTATGGATACCAGGTCTTCTACGACGTCAGAAATGACGCGGACGCACTATACAACCTTTACGGCGTCAACCTCATGGGTGTTTACGACCTTCAGCTCCTTGAGCTCGCGGTTCGCCACTCCTTGAGACGACAAACGAGGTTACTCAACGGACTCAGCAAAAGTATAAAGAGCTATCTCACACCTCCCGTGGAGTGGGAGCCAGTCAAGGAGGCGGGGTCAAGGCTTTTTAAGCCGGAATTTGGAGGGTCTTATTCAGTCTTCGAAGAAAGGCCTTTAGATCCGCGTATCGTCGCGTACTGTGCGCAGGACGTTACCTTGCTCTTCGCACTTGAAGAGACATTGAGGAGGAGTTTTGGACGCTTCGGGAGCAATTGGGAAGATAGAATCGTCGCTGGTTCGGCCCTCAGAGTGTCATTGGCAAAAGGAGCATACGAAGGAAAAGGCAGGCACATGGCCTTAGCCCCAGTCCTCTAGATCTTTAGCATACTTTGTCGCGTTGGCTCGAATTGATATCCAGTTTTCCATCCATCCCAACCACATAATAACAGTAGATTGTGACGGTCAGGGGGGTTTTGTGTTTCTGTGCTTGTTACCAACGTCGGTTGAAGACTAAGTATTGCGTACGTCGCCGTGGTGAGCTCGAGATACCCGCTACCGCTCGAATTTAGAAGTCGATCGGAGACGAACTCCAGAGGAGCCAGCATTGTCGCCCCTCGCCCAGAGAACACCATCCGAGGTGGAATCGCTCGAAGTAAGCTGATGCAAGCTGTTGAAAGCCACCCTGATGCAGCTCGGATTGCAGGTTCCTGAAAGAGAAGGGAAAAGCATCACTTGGCTCCTTCCCCAATTCCTCACTTGCACTCCAACAAAGCCGCATATCGTATCTAGCACTCTCTCCCAGCTCTCAGCTGGGGAATTTCAAAGGCGCCAATGATAACTTCTAGTTTTTCAGTCTTGCCGATAGCTCAAAGTTGCTGGAAGAAATCTGGAAGGATGGCAGAACGCGGAATCTTGGTAGAACCTCAGAGTGGTCTACCAGCAATCTACCAGAACCCCCAAGAAACCACGGTACCAAAGTTGTAGCCTATGGCGTTGATAGGCTTCGGCTACGTTCGCCCGCGCGTCAATCACTTGTATATCGGCATTTATACAAGGAGCCTTCCAGTAGATTGTATCCTACTCGTCTTCATTCACTTCAGGACCATCCACACGCTCATTTTCGTGAGTGCTTACATCTTTTCTGTCCTCGATCAAGTTCTCGGCAACTGCTATGGCTCCTCCACCGCTCCTCCAATCGCTATCACCCGAACTGAGGCTCAACCTGCAGAAGAATTTAGAAAGCGTGCTTACCGAAATCATTCAAACCAACATTAAAACTATTTTCTTTCGAGAAGCCGCTCTATTATCATCATTCCGCGATCGTCTCAGCGTCCCTCCTACTCCAATGCCGAAAGCGAAACCGGTCGCAGCTGTTGATGCTGGTCCGTGCGGAGCCATTGACGCTCAAGACTTGGTACAGAGATTTTACGAGACTGTTCCCCTTTTTCTCTACGACGTGTATCAGCCGTTCGTCTCCCGCTTTTTTGACAAGTCACCTTGCCCTTCCTCTGCCGTCCGCGGTTTGCTCTCCACAGGTTTCCCTGATTTCATTGCTCGAACGTCTGGGTCGTCGGGATCGACTTTCAAATCGTTCCCATGGTATTCCGAGAACTTTCACCGCCCTTCTGAAGGCATTAGATTCTGTGCATTCAACACTTTTCGCACCTGTGGCCCGACCGTGGAAAGCGTCAACGAGCAGGGAGAATTGCAGAAAGGAGTGGTTGTTACCAACATTGCAAGCGGAATCATGAGGAGGCGCATGGGCGTTGCAGTGAAAGATGATGAGAAACCCATAACAGAGGCCCGTAAGTTTTGCTTCGACTCATCTGTCGCCATTGGATCATGATCACTGAAGAGGTGCCTTCTTCGCAGCCCCTCTCTCCTCCGTCCCTTTCGCAGTTTGGTACATCCCAAATTTCCTGGGAAACCTCTTAATGATCATGTTTTCCGCTGCTACGGATCCGTCCCTTGTCTATCTATATATCGGCCTTTTACGATGCTGTGTTGACTCTCGAAGAACACTGGGACATCGTCGTCGATAGCGTCGAGAAAGGAACAATCCCCGATGTCTACGATCTCGACTATTGCAAGCCATTTCTAGAGGTTTGGAAACCTATTTTCCTTTTTGCTTTATACTGACACACATTGGATAGGCTCATATCAAGCCAAATCCGCGCCGCGCGGCCGAGCTCCGGTCAATACAAAAAAGGACGGAAGGATGGTTGAAGCGGATCTGGCCGTCACTGAAAACTATCAGAGCAACCAGCAGTGGAAGCTATGCCGCCTTTGTTCCCAAGGTATGACTGAATTCAAGTCTATTGCATCCTGAGCCCACATTCAAGTGCAGATTCGACATCATATTGGGCCTAATGTTGAAATTGAAAGCTTGTTTTACGCTTCATCCGAATGTATCATCGGGCATGGCTATGATCCAACAAACGATCACAACCTTTATCGCGTTTCTCGTGATTCGCATTTAGAGTATCTCGACGTCACTGGCCCCGAGTCGACACAAGCACTTCATCAAGCAGTACGCCATCTCCTACAAACCAACCAAGCACTGACTCTATTTTGCCTTTCTTATAGTGGGAGCTCCAAACCGGGAAACGGTACGAGATTGTGGCGACCACGAGAAACGGCCTCTGGCGATACCAGATGAGGGACGTTGTCGAAATTGGCGGATTTGATCCAAGGGATGGACAACCTGTCATCCGCTTCATCGAACGGCGAGGGTACATAGTCATTGCATCTTCACGCCCCTTCTCCTCATCCAACCCGTAGTGTCGGATTCCGCATCTATGCGGACATGGTGTCAGAAGAGGTAATCCAAAACGCTATTCGTTCAACCCACTACACGCTCGGTCGCGTCTTGGAATTCGTCGCAAAGCTGGATGATCGACAATTTCCGCAGAGTTACGGCTATTTTGTAGAACTCGAGGGAGAGCTAGGTGTGTATTCTATAACTGGCACCCTTTCGCACTTCTCATTCACCTTTGGTTTACAGGGCTCTGCTCCACGTAAAGCACAAGAGGTCCTTTCCGCAAACCCGGGTTACAAGTTCTCCACCGATGCCGGAAGGATTGGGATGCCTACCATTCGAATTGTTGCACCGCGTACATTTAGGGCGTATCGCGAGTAGAGGCTTGAGCTGACGGGCAATCCTCTGGGACAAATTAAAGTCCCAACTACCACCGTCGATGTTGCAACGAGAGAGTGGCTGGCGAAGAGGGTGATATCAGAAGTCGGCTTACCGTCCGTTTCTTCAGTTTAGTGTAGTTTCTGTGTTGAGTGAGACACGTACGAAGCACCATCTTTCGGAGTGACTTCATGAACTGTGCAGAGTGAATCAATTGTTCAACAGAATCTAAGTGAAATTCAGAGCAAATTCATTTTCAGTTTAGTGTAGTTTAACGGCACTTCAGTGTGTCCTTTCGAAAGAAGAAACGAGCCAATCCAGTGGGGCAATCGATATTCCGGATACATGACTCTGATGTTGACCAGTCGTAGTCAACATTACTGATTTGTTCCAACATTGTTCAAATTTCTGATGTACAGAGCTTTTTCCTGTGGTTTCAAAAAGTTCCGTGATTAGGAAACACAGCAGGTTCTACAAAGTTGAGGGCAATGGCAAGCTAGTCAATTTCGCTTGTCATGACTGCTACGATGGTTTGCAAACTAGTAACATTATAAAGTTGACAAAACTAACGCATTATTCAAATGAAATGCCTGTACTTATACAAGCAACATTTTCCGTGGGTCTTCGAGGTACTCTTTAACTCGCACTATAATGAAGCGGTTAAGTCATGAACTTATTCTCGAACAAAGAGAAAAAGACATACCAAGGAAAGTAACGGCCTCCCGACCGTCTAGCAGACGATGGTCGTACGTGAGTGCGACGATCATGATGGGGCGGATGACAATTTGACCGTCAACGACAACGGCCTTGTCCTTAATTGCGTGCATACCTATCACAACGAACGTCAGCACCGTAGTTGGAGGAAAGACAGATGGGACCCATACCGAGAACGGCACTCTGAGGCAAGTTGATGATGGGAGTACCGTACAACGAGCCAAATACACCACCATTGGAGCTGTAACCGTCAAAACAACCAGTATGACAGGGCCTGACTTGCAGATATAAAAGGAAACCCACATCGTAAAGGTTCCACCGGCCATATCCTCAAGCGTCAACTTCCCATCCTTCGCCTTCTTCCCAAGGGCAGCAATCTCCTTCTCAATCTCTACAAAACTCATCCCCTCCGCGTTTCTCACAACGGGGGTGACCAAGCCCTTCGGAGTAGCCACAGCCACGCTCAAGTCGACGTAGTCCCTGTATACAATCTGCTCCCCCTCGATGCTAGCGTTGGCCGCGGGGATTTCTTGCAGCGCAAAGGTACAAGCTTTGGCAAAGGCGGACATGAAACCGAGCTTGACTTCGTGGTCTTTCATGACTTGCTCTTTGAATTTCTTGCGCATCTCGACGAGGGAGGACATGTCGATCTCGTTGAAGGTCGTCAAAGAGGCTGCGGCGTTTTGTGACTCCTTGAGACGCTCGGCGATGCGCAGGCGCATTCGGTTCATTTTCACCTGGTGTTCAGAAGCATTAGTCGGAGTCGAGGAATCAATATGGGCAAATGTACCCTTGTCTCGTTACGACTACCAGCTACGCGGGGTGCAGCAGCCGGTTTTGACTTGTCTTCCTTCTTCTTCTCTTCCTTCTTGACCGGCTTCTCCTCCTTAGCCTTCACAGGCTCCTTCGTCTCTGGTGTCTTGGCGCTTTCTGAGGGTGATGGTGGTTGAGGGACAGCGGGCTCGGCGGATTCTTTAGGAGCTTCAGCAGCGGGAACGGCCTCCTCTTTGGCTGGTGGAGGAGAGGCTGATGTGATATGAAATAATGAATACTTCACAATGTGAAAGTGACGTACATGCTGCGACCTCTCCAGGTTCAAGTACGAACAAGTCCTGTCCCACAGTAACGGTGTCCTCTTCGTTTGCAAGCAACTTTACAATTGTGCCGGATTGAGGAGCGTTAACGGACACATCAATCTGAGTGGAAAAGTATAAGCACGGGCACAAGTTGTGGAAACGCAAAACGCATCGCACCTTGTCGGTTTCGATGGTCGCTACTTCTTCATCGGCGGTAACGGTGTCGCCAACTTGTTTTGACCATGACTTGAGTGTTCCCTCACTAATGGATTCAGCCATCTGGGGAACCTTGATGGTTTCCGCTGGGTTCCGACATGAGTACGAAGGTTGGGCCTGCAACGTCACCCAAAATCACCTTTCAATAAATTTGACGAGTGGAACTGGGCTCTTTTCGCATTGACGTTGGCAATAGTCCTTCCGATACGAGTGGTATTAGTACGCTGTTCAGTAGAGGTAACGAATGAAGGCCTTACAAAGCCCTCAATAGGCTCGCCGACGAGGCCTGTGTGAGGCCACGCCCTCTAGCAATGGCGATAACCCTTGAGGACAGCATGTTGTCGGGGGGAGCAGTGGTGGTGGTGGTTGGTGGTGAGCTAGCCTGATAGTTCCGTGTTGGCTAATTTGTTTGGTTCCTCACCGTCACCGTCACCATGATGACTTTTCCCGGGCCGTGCGGCTTGCCGTAGGGTCATCCTTCAAGCTTCATGGTCACAACGAACGGCCGCCATATAGTCATCGTCGGAGGGGGCATCATCGGCTGCACGACGGCCTACTATCTATCTCGACATCCGTCTTATACCTCGGACTCGGACACGATCACTTTGCTTGAGGCTTCACAATATGGACCAGCGCAAGGCGCGTCGGGTAAAGCAGGGGGGTTGGTAGCTAGATGGGCTTACCCAAAGGAACTTGTCGATCTTTCGTTTGATGAGCATGTCAGGCTCGCGGAGGAACATAATGGTAAAGAACGTTGGGGATGGAGGTATGTTGACTGTGGTAGCTGGGAAGGAAGAGGTGAAGCGTTAAGCGAGCAACGTTCAACGGGCCATTCTGGGATTGACGCGCCAGAGAAGAGCCTGGAGAAAACTCTGGGTCTTCCTGGTGGCTCCAAACCACGCGGCAGCAAGTCGAGGAAAGCGAAAGGATTACCAGACGACCTCCAATGGGTCAAGGAGAACCTAACTGACGCTTATTCACCCATGGCGAAGGCTGGCGACACTGCGCAAGTTCACCCTTATCTATTCACTACCAGCATCTTTGAACTCGCAAAAGAACGCGGCGTCAAACTTATCGCGGCAAAGGCGACATCCATCATTCAAGCGAACGATAAAGTCGTAGGGGTAGAATACGAAGATAACGCTACGCGCCAAACCACAGCGGTACCTGCAACACATGTCATAGTCGCAGCCGGCGCTTGGTCTCCAACTCTCGTCCAAGGACTCCCTATCTCAGCAACCCGCGCCCACAGCATCACGATCAGACCCCAGCCCAACGTCCAGATCGCGCCATACGTTCTGTTCACAGAGATCGCGTTCCCAAAGTGCCTTGGCGGTGGCGCTTCCCCAGAAATTTATGCTAGACCCGATAACGAAATATATGTCTGCGGGTCTGGAGATGACTCGGCACTTCCGGATTGTGTCGACGATGTGGTGGTTGACCAGACGGCGTGCGATGCCCTTCAGAATCACGCTTTCAGTATATCTGATGAAATTCGACACGGGACCGTGGAGAAGAGGCAGGCCTGCTTTCTTCCTGTCGTGAGCACGGGGGGAGGACCCATCATTGGTGAAGCGGGACATATTGCCAAAGGCTTGTATCTCGCCACTGGACACACATGTTGGGTCAGTCATACTTTATGAGGCTATATTTATTCACAGCTCATCTCTTGAAAATCACAGGGCATCTGTAATGCGCCAGGGACTGCAAGAGCGTTGGCAGAACTCGTCATGGACGGACGTACAAAATCCGCTACTTTGGAGAAACTTCGCCCATACCCTACCACATAGAATGGAATCGCAACATTGCACGTCGCGAGCCAGCGATTTACTTAGCGCACATGACATCCTACAAGCCCTATTTTTCAAGGCTCGACGGTGCACAGCGCGGCGTTTAATCTCCGAGACGCTGTCAGTGTCAGTGGTGCATTCGATCATGATCCATGATCCATGACAAACCGAGATTTATCAGGCAATAAATATTGAAACGCCGTGGACACTGCATAGACATGACAGCGACATTTTGACTGTTACGGGAGGTTCCGTCTGTCAGAAAGAAAGATGGAAGTTGGGGCTGAGACTGCTGAGAAGGTTCAAAAACCCTCTCTAGCCTTTCGACTTGACTCTGTATTCTACTCTACGTTTTACTCGTGGGTTGAATCGTGCTGAAATTTAAAAAACATCTATCGAGTGAACGAAAAGAACCCAGACAGGATTTTTGAGGTGCTGTGTATCGAAAGGAAACAACTCACAAAATACACCCTTCCTTTGTTATTCTTTCAATTGGATATGCGCATGGATAATTTGGGTATTCTTTCAATATTCTTTGCGAGGCCCATAATGACATTGTGGGCTGACCTATCACCGTATGGCAACAATGGAGAGGAAAGCACTGGTAAATTTTGTCGGGGCGAACGGTCAGATGTCCCTTTGAATGCGTCTCAAACTTGCACGAGCTAGGCCAAAGCTAGGCAATTATAATCACAATTTGAAAAGTGGGCGTGCGGCTAGTGGCGGCCACACTCGCTGCATTGGAATAAATATCTGTCGGACACGCACCCCGCTCCACAAAAAAAAAAATCAAGACGCCTATTGGTACAGCAAGAAGTCGTGGCAATGATTTCTTTCGGATCCTGCATCGTGGTGTGTGCGTTCGAATTTATTCGGGAAATGACCATGAGTACGCCGCGTCGATCTGCAGAGCAAGTTCACTCCCGCCCATTGGCCCGTTTCAGGTTCAGGAGACGCTGCTCAGAAGTGTCGTCATTTCTTACGGAATGGGCGCTGCGTGCAGATCCTCGAAAGCACTCAAAAAGCACTCTAACTTGGACACTTCGGTATCTGCCGACAACATGTGCAGAGCGACAACGCGATCGCTATGGCTACAAAATTATTCACCAAGGAGATGTTTCAAACGAAACACATTTGAGGTTATGTGGACATCATAAAAGGCATGGTGCACTACGTCGCGCTCAGTAATTGGCCCACGCGTCCTGGTACCGTGGAGACTTTCGCGGGAGTGTAGGTGCGCCAGGGCGATAAATGATAAATGAGCTTGGATGTCAACAATCGATATCATTTATCCGTCCTCATGGATGTTTCACAAATTTCTCTACCCCGCCGCAGCGCCTCCGTTTTGGCATGATGCTCGGGGGCGAAACTATACTGCCACCAAGAGCACCTTGATTCGATCTAAACTTTATTTCAAGCGGCGCTGATTCAAGATCGTTCATCTGATAGCCGGCTTCTTGAGGAACCACTTTGTACTTTGAGAAGTCGCAAGTAATTAAGGACATGCGATGGGCAGTCGCTCGTACGCGCAACTGTGGGTGCAGCGCTTATTTTTCAGCTGAATTACGCCGTCATATTGGCGGCCGCTTCAGGGATTGACATCATCTTGGACCTGCAACGAAAAATACGATATGTCATCGCTCGGACATACGTATCTGCCTCGTGGTAGTGAGTTATTTCCATTTGATGTATTTGACAATTGGACACTTATATCACTGGGTCAAGATGCCTTTTTTTTTTTACCTGGCCCTTAGTCGTCGACTCCCGGACGTGTCATCGCGCAGGAAGGCTCGTAATGGGTCCCTGGCAGAAATACCAAACTTAGCCCTCCTTCCTGGTTACTGTCCCGATAGGCGCGTTCGGAGGTTCCTTGCCAAGAAGCGGAGCTACCGCCGCTAGGTATATAGCGCGGGTACGTACTCAATTAAACTTTATCCAACTCTTTCACCCTCCTTCCCATATTCCCTTTCTTAATTTTTTCTTACTCCACTGTCCTTCCTCCTAAACGCTATCCTCGCTATCCCTCCTATTCAACCTTTAAGCTGACTTGTCGACGACCATCGTCCAGCTATCCTGACCTGCCTCGAACGTTCAAATATTTTCGTATTATCCTTATTGAACGCAAATTTCCTCCACGAGCCTACCCCGAATATGCAGCGGCCGTCTTTATTAGCGAAGGAGGAGCCTTATAAGTTCGTTCACATTTTACGCACCCGACGTAAAATTTAAACTGACGCCCACTTAGCGCGCTCTGCCACCACTTCAACGTTTCTGCCGACGTCCCCGTGCGGGAACTCCTTCCAGCCACTGTCGACATGGTGGTCTTGCGCGACGCTCACACCCCAACCCATGTGATAGCCGCGTTTCAGGCCAACGGCTCTCCCTCCACCTATCCTCTAATGCTCCCAATCGACATCAATTCTTATGAGCGAGGGTTTAGAGTCGGCTTGGACTTGCCTGACGCTCCACCGGGTACCACCGCGCCTATACCGCGCGAGCTTGGGAGTTCCCAGACGCTCGTGGTGACTTTACCAGTTATCCCCCTCACTGTTCCCCACACTGGCTCGCTGCCCCTCCTCTTGCTATACGGCCTGGGCTTGGAGACGCAGCCCAACCTTCTGGCGTGGCGCCTCCTTCCTTCTCAGGTTGTGGAAGAATTCCCAAACGCCGCTGCGATGGCTCAAAATTTTGCGCGCCTCCACGATGATGACTTCGGAAAATTCTTCGGATATAACCAAGGCTTATGGAAAAACATCCTTGCCCTCGGCCTCACCGACACGCGAACCGTTGAGCTTGTACAGACTGCGTGGAACGTCACCGCAGAGGCGCGACGCATCCGCCAACGCTCTACCCCTCGACGATGACAGAACTTTTATAATGACCGCGAATGCGACGAACGCTGTCACGATTTTGGGGGCTTTGGAAAAACCAAAGCTGAACGTCCTTTCTCTTTTTTTCGCTCTTCACTGTTTATACTACATAGCTCTCCTTTTGCACTATATTCCCTCACTAATATTTCTTGTTCTCTTACTTACTAATGTCCCCTCCTACCCGCACTAATATGGCTTGGTCGAGGCCTAGTTCCCCCTATGCCTCTAGGCTCTTACGACTCGAACTCTGTCCGTCACGAACTCATACTGCTCTAGCTACATACATAGTAATATTGCTCTTTCTTCGTAATGTATCCTATAGTATTAATATGCATGACTCGCCGTGAAGCCAGGGAAGTAAATTACAACGTATAAGGGGACTTACTTCCCGGGGATCGTGAGTCCAACTGCAGGGACTGTTGCTGGCAACGTTGTAATTTGTGGTCGACATGGCATCGAATATCCGAACATCTCGGTCCGCGCATTTTAGATGTTATTCAAATGAATAGTCTTGAATAGTCTGTCGTCAACGGACCGACCGCTACCGACCGGCAATAAGAATTTTAAAAGTCGCGGCTACAAGGATCGAGATTCGGGTAATGACACAAAATATCGATTAGAGAGTGCTTAGAGTAAAAGGTACAAAATGTAGACTTCATGCAGTGGTCGAGCTCGAATAAAAGTACTTCATGCAATAGACAATAACTTAGAAAATCCCGCAAGTGATCATGTAGACTGCGAAGGACCCTCTGACGGCTGCTCAATCATCAAAGACGCGTTCCCCGTCGCAATCGCAAGCGCAGTCAACAGTATCTGCCATGCGAGGTCCAACGTGTCCCAAAGAAGATCGTCGAAAATCCCAAGTGCGCAGACATTCTGCCACATACCGTGCACCATCAGCTGGTGCTGCAGCAGGGCGTGGACAGTAAACGTTCCCGACAACTTTGTTGCAAAGGGCACGATGAGGGAGGGATCTAGTTCGAGGGTTGGGGGAGGGGGACACGGAAGAAGGGTTTGGAGAACAAGATCGGTGCGTTTGTTGTAAAGATAAGCGGCGAGCTGAGGATATAGCTGAGGCGAGGGCAAGCATAGCGGCCATACTGGGACCGTTAGTTCTTGTGAACCAAGCTTCTGCTCGGGCGGAGCTAATGTTGGAGGGAAGGGGGGTAGCTTGGAGCAATGGGCAGCGAAGACGAGACTGTGGACTGGGAGGAGGGTTACTTTTGTGCGTCGCTGGGTCTGGGTCTTTGGAGCATGCCCGTAAACTGCAACCATGTGGGTGGGAAGGACGGAAGTGAGGTCTTGGACGACGATGGTAAGCTCCTTGGGGAGCAAGGAGCTGGTCAGACTGGCTTTTACGGTGCTAAGAACATTGAGCATTCTGATTCAAAACTGTTAAGCGAATGCAGAGAAGAGAATAAGATATCTTGCTTACGAAGGTCCAAATTCCTCCAGTTGTTCCCGGATGTATTCAGGGTCAGTGTCAACGAGCTCAGGATCCACAGCTCGAATCGCATCTTTGGAGACTTCGCAGAAATCTGGCCTGACAAGCTCGCGAGGAAGGATCACTGGAATGGATTTAGGCGAAGTTTTCGACGAGGACGGTAGGGGTTCTGCATCCTTCATTTCCACATCAGCTGGTGGGGGAGTGACAGGGGTCGATGTAATGGTAAAGCGGATTGGCCCAGTCGGGGACTTTGATTTAGTGCTACGCCTTTTGGCTTGTTGAGCCAGATACTTTGGCGTGCTGGCGGCACCACTTGTACGAGCACGTCTGCGGCGACTAGCATCATGGAGAGTACTGCGAAGGCGGGATGCCAGTGTTTTGGCGTTGACGTGTGCTGTGGGAGGCGCGTTCTCGTTATCGACACGCTTAGCATAGTTTGGCTGCAAGACCATGGCGTTTTGAATCGAGTTTTTGGAGGTTGAGGGTGAGTGGGGTTTGAGGTGGAAGCGGAGTTGCGTTAATTTATACAAAGAACTGGTTGTTCACCCAACTGACAGCTTCACCAATCCAATCCAAAAACTTCCCTAAACAAGCAGGTCAAGGAATCCACAACTTCCAAATTTGGTAATTTATTCAAAACCAATCCATCAGCGTATTTGTGTTTGCGGGAGGCGCCTGATCCATAAAACTTTGTTTAGAGTTGCCACCCAAGCTCAAGTTCCAGCTCGCTGTCAAGACGCCAGGGTAGATATCCGTAACATCCAGTATTGCCCTTGTTAAGCCCTTGTTGAAAACGCCGTTAAAAACAATGATTTCTCCACCCCTGAGAGTAATCAGAAGCAAGAGTGCAGCCAAGTGCAATTGTGACGGGGGGTCTTTACTTTGCATTCGGGAAACGGGGTTGTGCGGCTATCCAAAGAATCACAAGGCACCAGCAACCGATAAGGTGACGTCCGGAGGGGTGGTACAACACTATGGCTGTGTGTGGGCGTACCCAAAAGCTAGAAGCAAAGGGTTCGCAGCAAATCAGAAGATGGCATTTGTTGAGGACCTGGGTAGAAACGGTGTAAGTGGCAATCGAAGGACTTGTGGGCGAGTGGGCCTGTCAGCGTTCACGAAAAATGGCCAGCCAGCGGTGGATGGATGGGGTTGGAGTGGAGTCGCAAAAAAAAAAAAAACATGTTGGACACGATCCCTGATCTTGATAATCGTCCCCATCTTCAAGGGTGCGTATTTGAGTTCCGCGGCATCCACCACATGAAAAGTGTGGCGCAAACAGACGACGACTTGGGTAGATTACTCGGAAATTGTGAGTGAGTGCGATCCAGTGAAAGAATCCCATCGTTCAGCAGATAATAACACTCGGATTTGTATGCCAGTTGGGCATAAGTTCATATGCCCTCAAATACAACCACAAAAATGTTCACTCACAAATCGAGTAGGCCAATGTAACAGTGATGATTCGTATTCATGGTGGCGCCCTCATCATCAACTGTGTGCACGATGTTGGGCCTGGTGCAGGGAACATGGAACAAACCCTCGAAATGAATTGCTGGCCAATAGAAATCTCTAGGGCGTAGCTTGAAGATGTCAGAAGTCACGAAATCAATGTCCGCCTCTCTAGGTGACTTTGCCTATCCAGGCATCTTTGTTTCCAGAGTGTGGCGCATGGGTAGGAGGTGCTCAAAAGGTGCTTCACTAGGCCCATCGTTGAAGTTGTAAGCATGAGACTCCTGAGCGACAGTTGGGGGGGCAGATGTCGTTTAGCGCATGTGGGGAAGGAAAGAATTGTCTCTGAAGTCGTATAAGGTCCTGGGCGTGATCATGAACGAGGACAATGGAGGAGATGTCGAAATATTTAATCTCCGAATCCAATTGTCCAGTCACGAAAACGCGTGACGTAACGCGACACGACGCGTCGCGTATACAAATTTAGGAGTTGCCTACGGGAGACTACAGAAGAACTATGGGCTGGCACTGCATCTAGTGTTCATTGCATCGTCATATAAATACAACTGCAGACCAACGTTTACATAAATAAGAGTATAAAAAGAAACGCGAACGAAACAAAACATTGACGAGATTGTGAGGGAGGAGGAGAGGGAGAGGGAGAGGGAAAAGATGCTGCGATACAGTACAAGAAAAGTGTCATCTCAAACGCATATTTACAAGAAAAAGAAAGTCCACGAGGCTCCCATGCCAGCAAGGGAGAAGAAACCCCATCATCATCGTCGTTCAACCATCACTCACATCCATGCTCCCACCCCCACCCCCACCCTCATTCCCCACCACCAAACGACTCCGTCTCCTCGCATACTCACTCTGCCTCGCCCTCTTCTTCGCACTCATCAACACATTCCCACTACTCCCACCACCCGTAAAACTCGACCTTTGAGCCTTCGCACCAAAGCTCGACCTCGTTTTGCCCCCATTCGACGCACGGGGTGCAATGGTTGATCCACTGGTGCCAGCGGCTCGCTGGGACGCCAAGCGCGCTATAACTTTGGACCGCGAAATACGAGGTTTTCGACCTGCCAAGGAGCGTTGTCGTATAACCGTGCTCTCGCCCTCATTGGATGATGATGGCCCAGCAGCAGCTGGAAGAAGAGTCCTCTTCTTCACGGGCGTCGGTATACCCGAGGGAAGGTCAAGTGGTCGATCAAAAACACCCCCTGGACGTGGTGAGAAAGGCCCTGAAGAAGATGAAGGCTTAGGGCTATTCGTGATCATCGAAAGCGCCGCATCGTCTGGGGTATTAGGCCCAGGCTGAGTAGTGACTTTCGGCTGAACCACTCTCTTAGAAGCTTGAACCTCAATCACCGGTTTAAGCACTGCAGAGGCTCTGTGTGCCTTTGCCAACGAACTAGCCGTAGGAGCTAACAACCTCGAGGAAGAAGTCGATAGTCTCGAAGATGAAGAACCGGTATTGGAAGCTGAGGCTTTCACAGCAACGAGGGCTTTCTTCGACCCCATGCTACTGATATTCCCAGCCGACGACGACGTTCTAGTCGAAGTCGAGGAAAGTCGGGTACCGATCGACGATACATTCGTCGAGCTCGTTTGGGAGATTCCCGTCCCAATCAGTGAGGTGGTACGTGCCCTCGAGAGGGAACTGTTCCTGCTCGTCCGTGTTCCACTCATAATACTACTTCTAGTCGAAGGAGCAACACCAAATGACGGTATAGGCGACCTCGAGCGAGAAGATGATATAGTCCCCTTGTTGACAGAATCCGTTTCTTATTGACACGAAGCGAAGGAACCCGAGTTCTTTTAGCGGTGGCAATGGTAGGACGAGCGGGTGCGATGGAAGCTTTCTGTACGAGACCACTCGGAGCAGCAGCTATTTTCTCTTTGGTCGCAGGTTGCACGGGTTTAGGGATGCTAGAGGCCGTAGTAGTAGGTGGTGGTGCTTTACCGCGATTCCACACATTCTGTACGATCGATTTGGCCGAGGAAAAGAAGCCGAATCTTGAAGGCTTTGGTTTGGCTGTATATAAAAAGAAGAAAAAGATCAGGAAGATCAAAGTACGAAACAGATAACACATAACACTGACCCAGGGGGACGTTCCTTCCGACGCTCACCCGTCCACTCCGCCTACCATTAAGTCCACCAGGAACAGCACTACTCCGCCTCTTCGCCCGGTTCATCTCGAGCTTCCTTCGAATGGCCTCCCGCTCTCTCTCCTTAAACTTCCTTTCCTCTTCCTCTTCTTCTTCCTTCTTCAGCTCCTCAGGAGAAAGAACCTTGCTGGAACCAGCAGCACCAGAATCAACCCTGACTCGCTTCTCCGCCCTCACATTCTCTTCCTCTTCCTCCTCCTCTTCATCGCCATCCTCGTCGCCAAAGGCTCCCGGAATAGCTTTTGCGCGTCGACCGTTGCTTATAACCCGTGTCCCACTTGCTCGACCAGCAATGGGACCACCAGGTCCTCGTCGACCACCCGCATCATCTCTCGCAATCGCACTCGACTTGCGTTTCTTCCCAAGAACAGGCTCACTCTCCTTCCTCGGTGATCTCTCCGCCTTCCTTTTCACAACCACATCAATCCCCTCCATCTTCCTAAACTCCTCCTCATGCATCTTCTCAAACTTTTCCTTGATCTCTCCACGCTTGTTCCCAGGAAGAGCCTTGATATCTCTTGCAGCAAGGTCTTTCTGAGAATGGGCACCAGGGTGGAGGTTGTTGATGATGTCGAGGCCGACACCTTGTACGCCTTCCTCCTGCAGACGCTTGTTCATCTCCTCGAGAACGCTCGCGGCTGCGACGCGGAATTGATGGTTGGAAACACGGTGCTTTGGGAGAGGTGAACCAAAGATGAATGGTTCGACGGGAGGAGCGAGAGCTCCAGAGCCAGAAGACGTTGTGGCACGCGCAGGGGTGAGGGAACCGGGCATGGGTGGATCATAGTCTTCTTCCGTATCCATATTGTCTGATGCAGACGCCGTTTGGCAAAGTGACGGTGAAGGCATCGTTGGGGGAAGGTCGGCGAACGTCAACGTCGGATAAATTCCTCTCATGATGTTGTCGCCCCCAGGGCTGGCAGGCGGCCATACGGCCATGCTGCCAAACCCACCCGCACTCGGGGTTGGACTTCCAAGGACGAGGTCAAAAGTAGTTTTGAAAGGTTTGAGTTGTGGGGTGCTATTTTCGCCTGCCCCATAACTGGTGTCGTGACTTGATAGAGGATTGGAGACCAGTCTGATCGTAGTTGTTGGTTGTGATTGACGCGTCGGGGTTGAAGGGGCTCCAAGGCCTAAGCCGAGGCTCAAACGGGCGTTTGAGGGGGCAGGGACTCCGGGGCGAAGGGCGTGACCAGGGAGGGGGGCATCAGCTTCGCCTAAAAGGCCATTCATTGACATGCGGGTGGGGTTGAATGTAAAGTGGTCTGTCTGAGGTGGTGTTGCCGCGGGGGGTAAATCAGAATATGGAGTCGAATTTTGCTCCAATTCGTCGTGGGATGTTGGTTGTGTGGCTGGGGGAAAGACAGAGTTGTGGCTAGACTTGGAGGAAGTGGTTGAAGCTAGGTCTGGTTTGGAGGTATTGGTGCGCCTCAGGCCGAGTGAGGTGGCCAGTGCTTTGATAGAGGAACTCATAGTTGTTGCTGGGCACAAAAAAGGATGAGTGGCGGGGCGTATTAATGGGGAAAAAGATACGCACATTTGGAACCCCCAGTGCCGAACTCTCCCGCTCCTCCATTGTTGCTGCCCAAGGTCCTCAAGGATGACAAAGTACCTTGAGATGAGTTTTCCTCAAGCTCTTGAATACTCTCCATGACGACCTCCCATTGTTCGCTTGGTCGAGGCATTGAAAATTGATTTACTGCGTTGTTGCCCTCCTGGGGCGCAGCTTCTTCGTCTGTTTGGTCATCCTGGGGTGGACAAGGAACGAAACCGGTAGATTCACTACGAGCAGCAATGCTGAGTGGAGAGTCTTTGGGCAAGGTCTGTGCATGTCGTTTGAGCTTGTCAATGAGCTCGATGTTTTTGCCATTGGCCTTGATAGAATGTATTTTGCATAATTTTACGAGTTGTTCGCGTTTGAGAGAGTGTAGAGCTGGAGAATTGAATAAAATTTGAGTGGTCGTGGACATGATTCGTTATTTGAGCATACGCGCAGAAGCGCTCGTCGTGGTCGTGAAGGAAGAAGAGAAAATTCAACAGGTTCACGTGATCGCGTCGCGTCCTTTGTTGACTATTCGGGAGCAGACACAAACGCACATTTTCACCCATCGTCGATGATCTCAAAAAACGAGCTGCTCAAGAATGGATTGCCTTGAATTGCTCATAGCGTGCTAGTAGCTGCTAGTAGGCGCCCATAGACGGTGGAGACATTCTTCGGCAGGTAACATCACGTGGACAAGACGCGGTGGTTGACCCTTAAATATAAATAGACAACTTAGCGCGAGGCCAAAAGTCCACCATGGCCTAGCTTCGACCTCAACTTGTCATTGCCTTGCCTGCGGTGGCCTTCACAATATACCATTTAACTGCTGTCGCCCTGAGTAATTTTCCTCCCATACCCCCTTCCTCATCATGTCTCCCCGCGGTCGTCGCTCAAGCCCAACCACCCAACTAGTGGAGTACCTCAACCGCTCCGACAACTGGTGCAACCTCAAGGACCTCCCTACATTAGCAAAATCCAGGCTTCGTCGAGCTCAGAACAGCGTGAAACGCTCAAAGGATAACAACGACCTTTTGGAGTTTATTGGCGATCGTGTCGTAAACCTGGCTTGTTCCTTGATCGTGGATAAAGTTAAAGAGAGTTCCGACCACCACATGGTACGTCATCCTCCCTTTTATACTTACTGGGCGCTCATAACAAACTGGTCAGTTTGTAGGACGCGTTCTTAGCAATAACGATACCCTCGGCCGAATCGCATACCAACTCGACCTGCACAAGTCTGCTCACCTGGACCAACGCGACGATTTTGAAGTAACAGAATGGAACCCCCGACACGCCATCTCACCCCCGAAGGCCCTAGCAGACCTATTCGAATCATACGCCGGCGCCGTATACGAAGAACACGGTTGGGAGCGCGTCATGGATTGGCTCAAGCAGATATTCACACCCCTTCTCAAGCCCGCCACGGAAGACTTCAATCGCAGGAGCGACGCAGGGTGTAACTTTTCCGATTCGTGGCAGAGTGTTGATCAGGAACTGCAAGACTACCAGGAGAGGATCCTAGACTACCTCGACTTCAAAAGCAAGTTCCTGACTGAAGCGGCTCGAAGTGCTTTGGATGCCCTACCTGCATCGAGCCTCCAGTTGATATTTCGTTGGTGAACACCTACATATATTTGTACAGGAAACCGATACTGGAGTCTACATAGTTATGGTACAGATTCTACTAGAAGTACATCGAAGATCAGATAACCAGGAAGATGACCCACACACCGCCCGGATGTGCCCAACTAGACCGGATGATATCTCCATCACAGATAAAACATGGTATCCTTCAACCGATTGCTGACACCATTATTCCAGGATTGAGCCGCCTCTCGCATGACCGCCTCTTCATTACCGCTGCTCGATGATGATCCACCGCTACTGGTAATGCCATGCAACAGCTTGTGCAGGTAACACCGCCCCCTCTCACAAGCGAGATCTGCGTAATAAGCAGGGGAAACCAAGCTGACGGCTTTGGTAGCGCGAGCGAACATGTAGCTGACGGAATTGGTGAGAGACTGGAGCTCGTCAGCCATGAAGCCGATTTCGTCATGAACAACGTAATAGTGGGTAGGTCGAGTGGTGCCCTGCAGACCACCGTGAGCTGTATGGAGTATTCGTTAACAACGGTCGAGGTATGTAAACGAGTAACTGGTTACCTTGTAAGAAAAAGTCATACTGATAAACCGCGGTGACTCCACGATCCACCACCGTCCCAGGACGGGGATTCCCATTGTGGTCAGCGTGCGCCCCCTCTGTCGGGTAAAATCGCGTATGATGCCTTTTGCCCTGTTATATTGTCAGCACGTCTTTCATAGGCAACTGAAATATAAGCAACTCACGCAGATGACTATGGTAAGCTGGGGACGGTAAGGCGCTTTGGGGGTATCAAACTTCTTGAACGCTTCCTTGATTGCAGGCAACTCTTGCTCAATAACAATAAGGAATTGACCCTGTCCAGATGAGAGTGAACAAATGAACAGTTGAAAACACGGCGAACTGACCTCTGATACTCCGTCACGATACACCAGCACGCGTTGCGGCAGTACATTGTTTTTCGCCTTGAATAATGTGAGGCGCTCCCACATCATCTTGGCGAGATTGGTCACCATCTAATCATATATCAGTTTGTACCAACCACGAGACGAAAAATCCACAAACCTCTTTCTTGGTTTCCTGTATTTCCATACTGGCAGGATACTGCGCAAAGTCGGACTCACAGCTAGCAACAACAGCTGCGATGGAAGGGGTTCCTTTCACGCTGCCTGGTCCAGGGTGGGTAACGTCGATTCCAACAAGCATGGTCGGCGCTTTCTTTAACCACGCCATGTTGGCTGCATTCAAGGCGTGGCTAGTCCGTGACGTCAGTACCCCAACAAGAAGATGGCAAGAGAAACCTACTTGACACCGCCCAACTTCATGTTGAATTTAAGCGCAACATTGGCGAAGTACTGCAATTGACCTAGAAAGATAATTAGATCGCATCAGAGGAAGTTGATGGGTCGATCAAACCTTTCTCTTTCCGAATCTTGCTCGAATGGACGCAGACGGTCGCTATCCAAAAAGATATTCAGTGGGCGGTGAAGGAAATGCAGGTTAAACTGACCTAGATCAAGGTAGCAATCACAAAGATGCTTCAACCCAGAGTATACATGCTTGTCGCCGTTTGATAGGATGACCAACACAATCGTAGGTTTTGCCTTAAGCGTCGTCAAAGCGTTCCGAATGACACCAATCGCCTGAGCTCTCGTGGGATCTGCGAAATTCTTTGGTGGAAGTTTTGCTTCTATGACTGCTGGGTCCTTTTGGTCAACATTCATCCCACTCTTTCTGCACATATCAGCAAATCCCTTGTACGTGCTCTTCAACTCGGGGTCCTGGAGACTTTGGAATTCATCCCTGTTCCCATCGCGGATCACCAGGACCGCCCAATTCTCTAGACGCGCCCCCTTCTTGAACTTCACGTTTCTCAAGTTCCAGCTGGCGCGATCGTCAACTTCAGGAGTTCCCTGACCATATTGAACTCCCGGAGAAGGGAGGATTCGACCAGGAACAACTGTCATCTCAGTCCCGATGGCGACTCTAAAAGCACCAAGGGGATCTGCCCCCTGTCTAAAGCCGAGTTCATCAAGGCCTCGTCCAGTGATGGATTGAGCGTTGATATTGGGTGGCTTGGCTGCTGCTGTGATCATCGCCGCCGTGTGCTCGTCTGTGAGTTTGCCACGGAAGGGTTGGTTTGGCAATATTTCGCAGAGTTCGGGAGGGAGGAGGTTTGACTTCTGTCCACCTACATCAACGAGTGGCATATCGGGGTATTGCAACCTCAGGTTGTACTCTGCGAAAAGGAAATATGTCAACTTTGTGAATTTCAAGAAATTAAATAATTTACTTCTCTGGAAATACTGCTCCACTGTTACCTCCCCGCCCAGGTCTGCCGCTACAAATGTGTGTTGCCTTGCAGTCTTATTGGACAAGGCTTTGACTGTCTTTCTGTATCCCAGGTGCGTCGCCTTCACCCTGACGCCTTTGACGAAAGCAGCAGGACGGGCACCAAAACTCGCATCCCTAAATGCGGTCATCGCTTGAGCGAGATTCCCGGGTTGATAGAAGGCGGTGGTACAAACTAGATTTCATTTTAGACCGGAATGACGCAAGTTAGCGCGAAACACCGACCGTTCACGTTCACCATCAGTTGGTTGTGGGCAGGGCGAACAGAAGAATAGAAGCCTTTCCATGCTTCGAGGCCTCCACCCAGGCTGATTGATTCGCCTGGCGAGCGGAAGAAGAAGCGGTTTCGTCCTACCATGACACCTGTACCACCCGAACGATTCGGGTGAGCCGCAAGAATAACATTCATAGCGGCGAGAATAGGATTGATATCGTAATCGCGGTATTGCACGTCACCCCTCAGGTACCTGAATAGCAACGCGTCATGATCTACAATGTATCAAAAGAATGAAGAACGGACTGCATCAAACTCTGAAATTCTATGTCACGCTGATACTCGATCGTAAGTGTGTATTGTTTCCCGCCTTGCTTTGGTCCCTGTTCGTCTTCGTCGTAGAACGGGACAGGAATCGAAATGGGTTGCGGAAGCTTCTTTGCTGCGATTAGCTTACTGGAATGATCATGTGCAACGTTGCCCCGAAGGCCAGATGCTGCCCATTGGGGAGATTGTTCAGCAAGCTGGAAGATTCGCCGCTTCACTCGACGGATAGCTGTGCCAGCCACTGGTGAAATCGACACCTCGTACTCGTAGAAAGGTCCCTTTGGAACCTTGATTGGGAAGAAGTTGGCCCGTAACTTGATTGGGGTCCCTGCTGTCCCGAAATTGGGACGTAGGGGTAGCTCGTTTGGCTTGATGGTCAACGACTTCATCGACTGGACGAGCGCATCTTGTGAGTTGTCTTTGAGACGGGCATCAATATCCACTGGTCCAGGATTGAAGACTCTGGAGTTGAGGTGAGCCCCCAGTAAACACCGAAGTGCAAGAGATATACCCTCCGCGACCAGCACCGCCGCCGCCGCCACGGCCACCACCTCCACCTCGAGGAGGTCCTCCCCTTCCTCTGAAATCTCCACGACCCCTAGAGTCAAAACCTCCACGTGGAGGGCCGGACTGACCACCACGGCCACGTCCTCCTCGATCGCCTCGGTAAGCCATGCGTTTCTAGATGTTATCTGTTTCTGCTGTGAAGATTCTTACGTTGAAAAACGCGTTTCGACGACGCACACTGGGGCGGGTGGTTTAGGCGCTCACAGGAAGTGGAACGATGTTGTATGAAAGATGTTGTATAGAAGACCTGCGAATGACAAGAAATGATTGTCTCAAGGATGAGCGTGCCCAGGGGGAACACGTTCAGAATGAACAATGTGCCCAGAGGGAACAAATCAAGTTGAGCAAGGATTGAATGAATTCAAGTCGCAGCGGGGTTCATATACACATTGCGCCACCAAATACATGCAAACACCATCAACACACTGCCTCGCCCCAACCTCGCACTATCCACGCTCTTATCCAATCCGCAATGGTTCCGCAGTCAGTTAAGCGCTTATATCGGGACCGCTCCACGTTAGCTACACGTAGAGGTTCTGATCGGCTGACGCAATTATTTCCGACTCTCTATCTTGCGGAGGATTTGATTTTGGACCACCAACAACAGACCATACAAGGTTTCAACGCGCTAGCATTGTAGTTAGCACTCGGTGTTCCAACCAAAAGTAACAAGCACTTGCAGGAATGTCCACATTAACCTGTTTTGCCATACGCACGACCTCTCCAAGGATGACCTCTACCTCGATCGCTTGGCCTTTCTCTGCGTCAAGCATCATGCTTGGTGTGTGAAAGCTTTCAGGCGAAGTGTGTAGCCGTGCCGTGTTATTCAAAACACTGTCAACTAGCGATGACGGAAGGCCATCATCGCCATCTGGGAAGCCGAGAGCCCGACCTAAAAGAAAATCAATAAAATGTACAAAGCAACAAAACCATCACTCCAACTCGCCCAAATTGAGGAGTTCCGTTAATGTTGCTCTAATAGAAGGAATCGTGTACTCTGCGATCAGATTGGCCGTAGTGGGAGACACATAAGGGCTATATGGCACCGACGGACTTTCTGGGGCAGGTCGGAAGATAGCAGGAAGTCTATAACTGCACGTATACTGTCAACATAACCTGCCCATCGGTGAGACTCGGAAGACACAAACTTCGTCAAGGTAGCAAAAGATGAAAAGGCTACATTCCAAAAGTTTTTGGCAAATTTTGCCCTTTGGATTTCGGGGACGATCGTTACTGTGCTTCCCCCCGCCTCAAGAATCCCTCCCAGATCTTTCAGAAGAGCCGCCTCTTCAGAGGTATTTTCAGTGGTAGTTCTATCGTTGTATCTATATTTTCCGAGAGTAACGCGATCCTTTGGAAAGAAAAAGACCGTTAGCCTGATGGTTCAAATAAAATCTCAGTTTTTACAGACGCACAAAATCATTATGCTGAACAACGTTTGGTGCCAAAAGGTTTGTCCCAATCCCGAGAGCAGTGCTGATGATACTGGGATCACCATTTCCGAGCTCCTTCAGAGCGTTATATAAATCAACTTCGACATTCAAGCCATTCTGAAGTAAGACGTAAGTAGGTTGTGAGAACTGATCAGTGTAGCGGGCAGCAAGGAGTGGTGCCAGCAGCTTGGGTGTCCGCATCAGTTCTGGGATAGCTTTGGTCGTAACCACGACATATGAATATGGCCTATCGGCAGCATCAGCTACAGATCTGCACACTCTCGAGCGCGTTCAGGACAAGATCAAGAGAGATAAAGATAAACTTACGTCGATCAGGCTTCCACCCATTGATCTCTCCGTATTTTCCACTCTTGAAATTGACGCCCTCTTCTAAATGAACAGACTCTGTTAAGCATGAAAAGTATACCTGAAAAAAAGTACATCACGTACTGTTCACCAGATCATAATTACTGCGTGCAACGGCAGTTACTCGAACCAACCCACTTCTTTTCAAGATAAGGGAGTCTTTGTAGTGATGAGCACGATAACCTCATGCTGTGAATCCTTTTTGGGAGCGTACAGATTGCACCAACGGCGCCAAAGCCAACCAGAAGAACGTCTTTCATAGGGGTTATATGTAGTCCAGAAGCGACAACTAGTTGTGCCGCTAACGTATGATTAAACAGAGCCACACAACGCGTCGACGCGTTACACGAGATCAAATGACAAATATTTGACATTCCACCAACATTCCACAACTCCATAAAACTTCACAATATTTCTGAATTCAAAATGGTTAAACTAACTGGCCGCTAAGCGGCTCAAAATTGTCTCCCCCTGCCCTCCTCTGATAATGCGATGCAGTAATGCGTGGCCGATGCGTAATATGAACGAATAATGATATGATCTGGAGGAGTAATTGAGGTTTTCATGCTTAGAAAGTATTAGACGACTAACTCGGATGTATGAGATCGTTACGGAAACGCAGAGCTTGAGTTTCAAGCGATGGTGCAGTAGACATCATTGCCGCTGCCGCCTGGTTGTTCCTTGCAGACGGGGATGTTGTCGACGTCAACAGTGGTGGTGATGAAGGCGTCCATGATTCGAGAGGATGAATGAGTCGCAAAGTGATGATTTGTGGGGGGGTCGCAAAAGTAAGCCTTCTTCAAGTTCAAACTGTGACAGAGCCATTTTAAACCTTTACAGTTTGCACGAGACAAAGCGTTATGTTGCCGTAGCATCAGCCAAGGAGTTGAGAAGAGTGCGCGTCATATAGGGCGGCGGAGAGGATAACAATAAGAGTGCACCAGATTGGGACCAGCCAGAGTCAGCAGCGAATTTTTGAAGCTTCTTAACTTTTATCCATTTATCGTGATCAGGATGTACGGTGATGTATTTGAAATGCTTGAAAGCAATACAAAAAGGATGGAACCGCGTGATTTTGTGTATTGCATGGGTTACTACCAATGACGTTCTATTGCGCACAGTGTTTGCGGGTCGACGACTGAGGTTCTTCCCAAATTCAGCGGCCCACGACATCCGGACGAGTGTGATCAAGCAACCCAGGCTGATAGCGCTTAGAATGGTAATATTCCTCGAAGAGAAGTTATTTGCAAGCCCCCAACCCAGACCCTTCCGGTGGTCAGACAAGAAATCAATGAAGCTTTAAACGTCGAATGTGATGCAGTTCCTAAAACTTGGGTTAGAGTAGACATTATTTGCTTCCTTTGCAAGGAGAATCTGGGCCAGTTCTGGAGAGCAGAGCAAGTATCTTGGATTCCAGATCCTAGAACGACGATGCGATAAGATTTAAACCGGAATGCAGTCAAAAGGTTACATACCTCGCCAGATCTCGACTTGACTCTTCAAGTTCCTTCGCCGGCGGACAAAGTTTGATATAGATCTTTGTGATGAGCCAGAAGGAGCCTCCTTGGGCGGAGGAAATAGCTCTGGCGCACTGCGTACGACGTGAAGAACACTTTTGTCAATTCTATGTTCTATTGAGTCACAAGGTAAGTGTTCGAGTTGGTTACTTTTGGTAGCGTTGGCACAAGGTTTGCGTGCGAATTCTAACTCGTTCATCGTTCAAGTTCTCCCTCATGCAAATGTCGATATCAAGTAAACCAAAATTTGTTTGCTACGCATGGGAAGCCTCCAATTACTCGTGTATAAAGGGAGTGGGATTCCATCAATGATCATGGTGAACGCGAACGTTAAGCCTGTCATCGGAAAGGACCACCAGCGCTGATGTCAGGCACAACGAATGAAGTTTATCTGGAAACATCCAAAATTTGCTCAAGCCGTTTTCAAACAAAATATTCGGGCGGTCTGTTGGAAGGATTAGAATATTGGCCAGGTATGTGCTGTCATTTCATTGGCAAAACGCCCCGTTCGACTTTGAGCGACTTCAGCAGGTCAAATTACTCTTGACTCCAGATTCCTCGACCCTCACCGGCGGTCTGCTGTCACCGTGCCAATCTTCCCAAGTTCATGATATATTTGCTGTAAGGGAGTGTGCAGACATTCCAGTTCCCTCGGTATGAGCAACCGTCTGCCACCAAACTCCAGCAAGTCAAGCCCTTCCTGGCGTATCACTCCCCTCTCACCACCCACCACACATGTGACTATCAGCGACCTGATTGTTGGGAATCCCACTGCTTCACCAGGTGGAATTTCAGGAGGTTCTGGGATTCCCACTTCGACGCTTCCAAACAGCACAGCGAGTGTTCCAACCACTTCTGGAAGTTCAAATGTTGATACGATTCATGAAGTCCCCACTGAGCCGACGACGATAACTACCACTTTTCTGACCCAACCACCACCATCACCAATCATGTTCCTCGTTGCCCTAGCATCGACAAGTACGCCGCAACTGATGACAAATACCCTAACAGCGACGGAAGGCGTAACTCAGCCTCCCGAATCAACGCTACTAGTGTCTGCATCTCCAGTGACATCAGGCTCGGTTATGGTTGAGGGAGGAGGGGACGTTCGCGCTAACCCAAGTTCAAATGATTCGACTCCACCAATCACATTGAAAGCGTCATCAGGCAGTGCGATAAAAGATTTCGAGGGTTTAGACGACCTCGAGATCGTCAATCATAAACTCCAACCAATCCATTCTATCGGCTCACCTCTCGGGGAAGATGCCACTCTTCCCGATGGCAACAGCGTTTCAAGAAACAGTTCAAGTGATGCAATAGGGGTGGTAGATCATTCTGTGGTTGTGAACATCCCGCCAGACGCGAATGTTGGGGAGAAAGAGCCTTTGACTTTGAATAGCGGCGAAGCAACTAAAGTGTTGGGCGACCATTTACTCACCAACGAACACGTCTTCGCCCCTTGGTACAAATATGCTTGTGCAGACGTCTTGTTGTCCTTGGAACCCGAGGGTAGCAGCTCGGACGGCACGAAATCGACTCTTCATAGATGGGAGAACTTCTGGGACAATGGCTCTGTGAGTAGTCATCTACAAAATCGAACAAACTAGCCTTTTTTGAAGTTGCCATTCCAGACAATAACATACGCGTTCATGAAGGGCAGTCTTATACAACAACGAAAAGTTGTAGCAGTCCTCGACCAATGGAGTCGTTATGCCAATATCAAGTTTGAACATAGGGAATCCCTTAACGAAGCTACCATTCGTATCAGTTTTGAAGAGAGATTCGGCTCTTTCTCATACATTGGGAGAACTATCGAGTCCATACCAAGGGACAGGGCCACCATGAATCTGGGATGGCTGGAAGACACGCTTCTCTTTACAGATGTTGAACGAGCTGTCCTTCTGCATGAAATTGGCCACACTCTGGGACTTTCACATGAGCATGCCTCTCCTGCACTAGGGGGGCAGGGAACACTGAAACAAGAGGGTAAGACTATTTTTGTCTACGTGCACAATGGTCTGATCCTCTTCGTTGTCAGCGTATGAAAATTATAACAACTACGTCATCGGAGGCGCTGATGAAGCTTTGGTGGCAGGGGCTTTCAACGCATATGCCAATTTCGAACTGAGCAACTACCTGGAGACAGACGCTGGATCGATTATGAAGTGCGTGGTTTGTACACCTCCTCAATCTTTGCCCCGCTAACTTCGGTTAGATATTTCATGCCGCAAGAAATGAACGAGGAATCTGTACAGTTCCTTCCCAACTACGGCCTTTCAGACATGGATCTAGCGTTTATCATGATCATATATCCTTTCCCTGCGGGTTCTACTCCAGTAAAAGACGGATGGAATCTCGACCACGCATTATGGATTGCAGGTGTCGATGGAGAGATCAAAGAACTTATTTTGGAGGAATATGCTCGTTCCAACTGGCCGGAAATGAGATTCCAGTTCATCAACTATTACACTGAGGCTCGGGCCGCCCGCTCTTTCCACGGAGTTACCGATGACCAACACCTGCCTAGCGAAAGTGTTGAGCTTGACTGGCACTTGCCTAGCGAAGGTGTTGAGCTCAGCTGGCACCCGCCTAGCGAAGGTGTTGAGCTTGACTGGTGCTGCGCAGAGGATGCATTTACTGGAGACGAGGCCAATGATACAGTCGCCGCCTTTGACGAGAATTTGTGGCTCCCCGGCGATGTTATTACATACTCCTTCGTCCAAGGCTTAAAGGATGCCACGCCATACCGTCAGCGTCGAGTTGCTGAAACATACGCTTACTACTCCAGCATAACTAATCTGAGATTCAGGAAGATTCCCTTTGATGGGCTTGCTCCAGCAAAGGCTGACATACACATTTATTTTGGCCCCATCCCAAACGGAAGATCTTCAGGATGGAGTATGATTGGAACGACATGCCAAGGGTCTCGCCAATCACAGGCACTCATTCATGAAAGAGGTGGAACTGTGGAAAGCTCAATGTGTTTTACAGATATGATCGCAAGGACGGAGACGAGCATTGGGGACAAGGTCCAAGAGGAGCGCATACTCTTTCACGAAATCGCCCACTCCCTTGGCCTCAGGCACGAGCGTCTCTCCACTGTAACAACAGACACCCACCACCATAGCGAATCAGTTGTGGTCCCATTTGATCTCAACTCCATCATGTTGTACGCAGATCGGTCTCTTGAAACCACAAAAAATTGGAAGAACTTCAAAGAGTTTTTCAATTTCCGTTCTCCTAGCTTCAACCATCTTCCGTCTGTGATGGATGAGGCAGTCTTAGGGGTAAGTTTATTCCGCATCAAACATGATACAATTTGTTCAGTTTTACATCAGGTGTTGTATCCTTATCCCGACGGAGATGTGTTTGACCACTTTGAAGGTGATCTTCGTAGCTTGGGCCTCCAGTCAAACCTTGGCAAGTTATCTGCACAACGGGATAGGGCGTTCAGTTTCTCTGGCCGTCTGGACTTCGCCGTTGAAATAGGACAGTTGAGAAGAATGATCTACGATGCCCTTGCAAATCTTGCAGCAAATCCACCGTCGTCTTCTTTTCTACTGACCCCCTCCATTACCTCTGCGGCAATAGGTCAAACTTTCCATACCCCGTCTCCCTCCATCAACAAACCACTGTTTAAGGTTATGGGAGTTCGTACGCAGCCGAAAACTACGACTGGACCTTTCCTCAAAACCATCCTCGATGAGCTTACAAAACTTTTTGCACCAAATTCTGGTCAGGTTTTTGCGCTCCAGATTCCTGGGCGATGCCTCTCTCAGGACCAGTACGCATGGGACACTACAGCTGCTGGCATCCATGGCCAGTCCATCAAGCCCGCAGCCGTTACTGAGAGTGAATTCCGTCTCACCGATCAACTTTACAATGTTGGCAACGTCGTTAGTACTCCCAACGGCCTCAATCTATCCCTTGTTTATGAGCAATGCTTAAACAATTTGGTACCTAGTCCACAACAAACATCTATCACGAGGCAGCAAGATCAAGTGCGTAAATGGCTGATGACTGACGTTCCCATTACGGGGTGGGTCAAAGATCTCGTCCGCTCGCAACGGACACAGCCGAACTCGGATGCAGCTGTCTCTCCGGAAACTAGTGCACCTAGGGCAATTTCAGCTCCTTCCGCCACATCCCCCGAGAAGTCTCTGAAACCTACCTTTCCGGTTCTCCATAAGCTCACAGAAGAGGGCAAAATCAATCGCATGGAGCTCGCCGACGCTTTGATGATAGAGTATCTGACAGCAAAGCAAGCATGGGAGGCCGAGCGCGACGAGCTGATCCTGGCTCTGAAAAGTGACAACACAGATGCTGCCACTCGTCATCTTAACCACGTCACCGCCATTCGAGAGGGTCAACTTGCTTCAAAGTATGCGGATGCCGTTGTCAGAGGTCATTCGCATACTGTTCGTCAGTACCTCGGATACTTAGATATCAAGAGTGCTGCCGAGTTGTTACAAGACGCCAAGGACGCTCTCCGCAACTCTGCTTCAAGCTCTTTGGACGGGAGCATGACGATTTATCCCGTACAATTTCAGCCCATCGATTGGTTCCAAGGATTATATACCAACTTCACGGTCGAAGACCTTTTCATGAACCCCGATTTGATCGCGCAAGCGCTGGATGCAAAGTCGAAGCAGCTCGACATCCTCAATACACAGCTAGTTTACTTGCAGCGGAGCCCATCGTTTGGCCATGATTTTGAGGAGTCGCAAGGAACGATTGATGTGGCACAATCAATGTACGACCAGGCTCAGGTGGAACTTTACACCACCTATACCAACAATGTAACCTCTTTGGCTAAAACGTGTATCAACGCTAGCGGCGAGTTTGTAATGGACGAGTTTGTCAAATTGGCAAAGGCATCAGGGATCTCAGAGGCTGCATTTCTCAACATCGAGCAAGCAATGGCGAAGATTACGTCAGCTCAGCTTGCTATCGTACAGGTTTCGCGTGCGTACACGCACGTATTCTCAGCAAAATCGCTCGCACAGGCGGCAGAGACTGCGAACGAAACAATCAGGATTACAGCTGATATTATTGCGCTGACGAGGGAGGTTGATGAGCTTACCAGTTATCTTCGAGTCTTGCGCTTCGGCAACGCGAAGGCGACAACAGCGACAGACTCCCTGAAATTTGCCTCTGTCGACGATGTTGATCTCATACCCAAGGAAATTACCTCTAGCCCCAGTAGATGGCAAGAAGTCACCATCACTCATACAATCGACAATCCCTTTTCCTATGAAAGCAAATTTGACAGCTCAAAAGAAGACTGTAGCTTTTTCCATAAACCCGAATCCTTTTCAGCTTCGGGGAAAGATTCCCCCCTCTCTAACATCTCATCGGTCACTGTCGAAGTTGGCTTCCGTTGTACTCTGGTCACCGTTGACCGTGGAAGGTGGTTTCAACCTCAGTTCTTCAAACAATCCAATAGTTTCTGTCACGTTGATGAGAAGGTATCGTGGTCGAAATGGCCACAAGACTTCAAGACAACAGACAACCTGATAGCCCAGGGGCTGCATGGAGCATTTGATGACATCAACAAGTACCTCAGGCCCGCATTCCCCACTGGTTTTCTCATCGCTAAGGTTCGCTCACTGTGCAGTCTGACCATACACGTCATTGACCACTTGTTCCCCTAGGATATCACCATCAAGGTTTTGCAAACGTCTGCCGAAGTTCGGTCTAGCGCTGCGGCGTTTGAGAAAGCCGTTGCTTCTTCTGCTGGTATTCTTTGCTGGTCCACGAGCTCCCCGCATGACCAAAGCTCTGGAAAAACGTACGCATACGCCCAGGCCGACGACGGCTACGTCATTCGCATCCCAAGACCTCAGGTAATGTCGATTTCCCGCCTCCACACATCAGTCTCTTGATTTTTGTTGCGTTCCCAGATCATGGGTTACATGCTACAGTTTACTGACCCCGACATGACTAAGCCTATTCCTGATGAAGACTTTTTGAGCTCTGATGATCAATAGCTCCACAAAACCACCCTCCTCATGAGAGACCTGCGCTCGCTGACCCAACGTCAATGGCCGCCTCGCGTCCTGACGACGGCTCATTTTCAACTTCGTTGGATACCTCCTATCAAACCATCTACCTCTCACAGCCCTAATTTATTCCTAATCAAACCAGGTTTGAACTGTATTTTTGCTTCGCTCCCAACTATTACGTATTCTTTTACTTCCGGTATTCAGCAGACAATCATTTTTGTATATCCATTACGGCCTTAATTACCTACATACCCTAGATTTATGGTAATTTTGGTTTACAAAATATACCACGGCTTCGGACATTTGTATTACATTTTTCTTGTGCTGGCGCTTGTGAGTCTCCCATTTGCCAAGCAATCGAGTGACTACCACTGTGTCGAATAAAGCCCTCAAAGAGTAATGCTTAATTGGTTGCCATAAGGTCATGTACATCATTGCAGTCATTCATTCGGTACTAAATGCCCGATTATCATAACACCTCGACTTGCAGCCTAGTAAATTCTCCTTCGTCTGCGAAACGAATTGGACTCATCACTAACACAATAAATTCAGGGGCTTGAGCGCACTACCTGCGGCGCTGGGCAGAGGAAAAATGGTTACGACCATCTAACATTGGATAGTTGTACGTCGAGTGTTGCGTGGCATCTCTAACGCGAATATTAGTAGGCGACGACCCATACTGCGGCAGTGGAGGAAGTGCCGAGGTTGAGAATGGGCCCATGTATTGGGGGAGACCCTCCATCCGCTGTCATCACAGAAAAAAAAATTAAAAGGGCTGGACAAATAGAATAAAATAAACAATCACCGAGTCGTTTGCATCAGTCCAGTTATCCCAGGGTTGAGGCTCGTAGGCTAGTTGACCAAGCCCCGGAATATGAGGTGGCTGAATGTCGTAGTAATTGGTGGTGAATAAAGAGGGACCCTGAAAGAGTGTGGGAGGTGCGCCCGGCTTTGGGGGTTCCACCTCTTGCATATAATCTCCAGACTGATAAAGCGTAACGTGGGTGCCAGGACGACGCGAAAGATCATCGCGTGTCGTGATGGGCGCACCATAGCCGACGCTGCTGTCCAAGGTCGACTGCGAGGTGTGTTCCTCGCCAGGAGGGCACGAGGACGAACGAGAAAAAAATGATCCGTTTGTGAGTGAGAACTCGGGAGTCGGCTGGTTGCTATACCCAACTTCTGCTTTCTTGGGGGGCTCTTCGAATCGCCTAGTCGTTTGTTTCTCGCCACTTGCACCCCCATAATGGGGGTGTCGGCCTTCTTGACGTTTCTGGTAGACGGGGACGGATTTGGCCATTTCGACCCAAGGGGCTTTCTGCTTAGCCGTCATTAGGCTCCACAGCTTGCCGGGGATATTGCCATTGACAGGGCTTGTTTGCTGACGGAGAACGTCCGCCCGAAAAAGGAAAAATGGGTCGAGCGGACGAGAGATGTGTCCCTCCTGCTGTCTCTGAGCATGAGACTTCTCGTACAGGTCGGGAGGCAGACTCGTAGGGACGGGTAGGCTGAAGGTGTAGACGCCATCAGATACGGTCGATGAAGTAAGTTCACGTCCTGATAACAACGTTAGAGAAACTGACAATGCGACGGGTAGAAAAATAAGACGTACCTTTCATCGATCTTGCAAGGTAAATCCTGGGTGAAAGAAAGAAGGAGCAGCTGGATTACTCGCCTTTAAGTGTGTTAAACAAGGGGGATGTGAAAGAACCTTGTACGCGCTCTTTGTCGTTATTTATTAGCCTGGACACGTTGCAAATTTCCAAGCAGGTCCGTAAGAAGCAGTCATTGAATAACAAAGAACCTGCTTGTGGGGTCTGTTAACAGAAAAACACATCTTGAATTTTTTTCCTGCTCGGATTCAAGAGAGAAGACGTAAAGCGTACTCCCGACGTAAAGTCTAAACTTGGCCCTCCTTAATAGGAATATCGGGAGGACAAGGCGCTGCAGCTTCGGCGAGGAGCCAGGCACGAGGCTGGGCAAGATCAGCAGATCATCCCATTGTTCGACCAACTCCGGGAACAAGGCGTGTTGTCGTTTGTGATGAATCAAAGACACCGAACTATTTTTAGCTCAGGTGAGGCCGAAGGTTAACAAACGCAAAAGAAACTCTCTGCACATGGAAATCATAGATGGTCAATGTTAATTATACCAAGCCGAATTATCAGTTTCAACAACCAAAAAATTGTGTAGTAAGAGTATGGACAACGCAACCCAAAATTTCCCTCCCAGTCCAATTACCAATGCAGTAAGTTATATGGCATTCTAGAAATCATGAAGATCCAGCGGGACGTCAACCACATAATTAACTGTCCCCCTTGCCCTTGTACTCCGCCTGGGCGGTGGTGGCGGCGTCGTTGACCCTCTGGCAGACACATCATGATTTACGCTCTCGACTTCGGTTTCCCCATCACCTCCCTCTTCAAATTCTTGCTGGGGATCGTCAGGCTCTGATGGGACGTCAACGACGGGATCGACCTTTTTCCTCGCTTTTTTCCTCCCTACGGGTGATGCTGGCGACCCAGGCACAGCATGGACACTCTCAGCCTCCATCTCTGCGTCCTCTTCGTGCGGGGGATCGTCGAGCTCCATGGGGATGTCGACTGCAGTTTTGACCACCGACTTTTTTTTTCTCTTCCGTTTGGCTGGTGGTGTTAAAGATATCGTCACTTCCCCCTCGCCCTCTATGTGCGGGGCATCATCAAGCTCCATGGGAACCTCACCGACGGGATTGGCCTTTTTCCTTGTTCTTCTTTTTCGTGTGGGAAGTGGCATGGCTCCTTCAGGCACCCTGGGCCCGCCCTTTTCGTGCAGGGAATCATCGAGCTCCTGGGGCACATAATTGACAGTGTCCCTCTTTCTTTTGCTCCGTCTCGGTGGTGATGTTGCTCCCCCACGGTCAAGGTCTATCCACTCATCATCTTCTTCTTCGTCATGCGGAAGTTCTGGCGCCTTTCCTTTGCGCTTCTTCCAAGTCCAGTTCTCTGTTTAGTTTACGTTAGTCAAGTACTTGAATTAAACGACGCTTGTGGTAAAGGACACACTTTTATTGAACTCCTCATCCGAACCTCTACGTCTACCTTTCGGTGGGACCCTCGACCCGATTTCTCGGTGGCGGCGTTTTTCCGAAAGGACAGGAGGTACTTCGAAGATGCTAGCTTCAGCTGCTGTCATCAAGTCTGACAGTTTCTTCTTCGCGGCTGCGATGATTTGAATCCTGTGCACGCCTTGCCGAACGACACACGTAAACATCAGTAATACCGTAGATGACTCTGAAGGGCTTTATCCCAACACACCATGATCAGGTTTATCCGGTTCCCCATAAACAGCTTGTAAACGCGAACTGACATTTTGCATTATCCTATATACACAAAACAAAACAATCACTAACTACACTTCTAGTGATAACTGAAAAGAAAAGAAAAAAAGGAAAAAACATACTGTGCGTCCATGAATCGCGTGTTTCCGCGCGCGGCTAGGGCGTTGAGGATCGACTGCCAATGGATGGGCTCGACACGGTTTTGTAAGCTTGGAGCGCGGGCGGGGGTATGTGTGGCCATGATGTCGAGGATGTAAGCTAGACACTCTGTGGCGGAGGATACCAGGTAGGGGATGTATGATGGGGGTTCCAGGTCGTCCTCGTCACCGTCTAGGTCCAAGGCTTCGTCGTCCTTGTCTTGGTTAGCTTGTCGTTGTTCGGAAGGAGGGTCACCATCGTCGGGGAAGACAGGTAAAGGTGTTGGAGGATGGCGTTTGAGGGCCTGCGCGGCTAGCAATGTGACTTCGTCTTCCAAGTTCCATTCAGGTGCCATCACGTCGCCCATGGGTAAGGGCCAGCGTGTCCAGGTATCCCGTTGTTTTTTGGGAGGAGGTTTTGCCTTTGGTTTCCTCTTGGTTTCTTGCGAAGTGTTCGCTGGCGGACCCTGGGAGAACGCTCGGTTGGATGGGTGGTTTAGATCGCTTGGTCCAGCTATGGGTGTCGAGGAGGTATTAGGTATGTTTGTACCACTAGGACTCGCGTCCTCTTCCTCGTCGTCGTCGTCCAGGTCCGAGCCCAATTGCGTGTCGTCATCGTCCTGCCAGTGATTCGGTGGTGGTCTTGTGAGTTGGGTCGTTACGTCGAGAGCGCTTCTTGTACGCAAAGCACGAAGCAGCGAGGAATATTCTGTGAGTTCAAAATGTAACTTCTCCGGGACGCGTTTCCGTTTTCCCATTAGAAGTGGGGAACAAGGTACCCAGGAAGAAGCCAAGGCAATCGTGGTAATGCTTACATAAAAACTGTACAGTACCAAGCTACACAAACCGTGTCAGCAACCTCAACTCTCCCAAGTCCTTTCCATTTACTTCAAAGTCAGTATACTATTTCGCCTCATGATATTCAGATTTTCTGACATTATTTGACAGAATGAGAGAGAAGTGGAAGAAAAAGAGATCCCGCAGGCTTAGGCGCAAACGCAGAAAGATGAGGGCTCGTTCCAGTACGTATACATACACCTCACGAAAAGACATGCCAACGAATTTTTGCAGAGTAAACGCACCCACGAGTGTGCTGGCCTACGTAACGTCTAGGTCGTCAGTCCAAGCAACTCCGAGGAGCGATGAGTTTGGCGTCCGTTCGATCCGCCATTGTTTCACTCCAGTTCTGGCGCCCGATATGAGGTTGTCGTATCGCCTACACGTACACTGTGCGCCTTTTGGGTCAGGGTGCACACAGCTATCGGCTTTTTGGTCAAGTGTGGTCGAGGTTGTTTCATGGGTCGTACAAATAAATGTCTTGATATTCTCTCAAAATCAAAACAAATGCTTTCTCCCCGACCATCTGTGTTTGAGTAAAGGAATTCTAAGAGTTCGAAGAGATTACTTCAAGATTTAGAACAGATGTTTAGAAATTGAAACATCACAGTTGAACATTCCTGGCGCGTGATCCCATCAACGCGTCTCCTTTGCAGTCGCGTCTACCTTCAAGTACACAATGAAATCCGTCCCAAAAATTATAATCAAAGCCCGAGCGCCAGCAGCCTCCACATCCCGAGTAATAACCCCCGCACCCGTCCCACTAGCACCTGAGGCAGACTCCGGACCCGAAGAAGAGGATGACGACGACGATCAAGAAGGCGACGAGACACAACCCATGGACGTCGACGGCCCCGCATTAACTGCAGACGAAGAAGGTGGGAGTGGTATTGGAACTGCTCCACGACCTCGAGGCAGGCCGCGCGGACGAGGGAGGGGCGGTGGAGGGAGTGGAACTAGCACGCCAAGAGCGAGAGGGCGGGGAAGGGGACGTGGGAGGGGAAGGGGGCGCGGTGTTGGTGGTTCGTTTACCATTCGGCTGCCGAAGCGTGGGGAGGGTGATGATGCTGATGCGGGGAGCGAGGGTGGTGAGGGTAGGGAGGGAGAGGAGGGTGGAGATGAGGTCGATGCTGAGGAGGTTAAGGAGAAGGAGGCACCGTTGGGTGGCGGGAAACCGTTTCGCAACATTCAGGGCGTCGTTCGTATTATTGAGGGGGATGAGTTCGTCACGGACGATGACCCCAAGGGCGACGAGAAGATTGATACGTTTGGGAATTTACTTGGTGGTATGCCTCTCTCTCTTTTTTTCTCAAAACTTAGATCTAATAATGCAACATAGGCAGGAGATTCAAAGCATCTACGTTCACCCTTCCAGGTCGACACCCACAGCGCCAATACATGCTCGCCATCGACGCAGCACGTACTTCTGGTTTCAGAGACTCACTATATTACTTCCGTCGCAACCTCCTGGCGTTCAAGTTGAATGCCACTCAACCTGAAAAAGACTTTCTTATCTCTGAAGGCAAACTAGGTTCTCATCTTCGAACGAGGAGCGTAACACTCGTCACTGCCCGGAGCGCGTTCAAACTCCATGGCTCCAAGATGATCATTGGTGCGTTTCTTTTTTCCCATTTTCACTCAAAAAAAAGTACTAATTTCATTTGTTACGGTACAGACGGTAGATGGGTAGTAGACGACTACTACGAAGTAAAATCCCTCGAAGAAATAACCGCCAAAGGGCTCAAACCAGGCGACCTAGTAGGCGAGCTCCCCGATCCAAACGCCGCACACCACTCCAACGAGCTTTCCGCGCTCAACGCAGCCGCCAACGCCAGCTCGAACAAGAACGACCGTGGAGGCGGTGGCGGGCTAGGCATCTACCGCGCCGGTGGACCCACGACCATCTTCGGTGCGTCAGGGTGGGGACCGTACAGTGATGGACCATTAAACGCCGTGCGGAAGAGCTTGCTCTCACGTGATGGAGTGACGGAGGAGAATTGGATGTGGATGATGGCGATGAGGGTCTCAGAGGCCGGGGATGAGTGGGCAAAGTTGAGGAAGGAGGCGTTGAAGGTTGTGGAGGGTGTAGAGGGACTAGCTATGGGTGATGTGTCGGTGCCTTCTCCGCCTCCTGCTCCGGCTGTAAATGAAGAGGACGAGGAAGACGAAGAGGAGGATGTAGAAGGGGAGAAGAAGAACGCGGCAACAGTGGACCCACCTCCGTTGAAGAAACGTAAACTTGGGCTTGGGAAGCCTGTGGGCATATATGAACCACACGCGAATATTATTCACTGTAAGTCTTCGTCGCCTCCGTCTTCTTTTCGCTCCTGAAATAAAGTTGCTACGTAGATCGCGCAGACACGCAGCCAACACGAAGTCGTTGGCAGCAACTACCAGACTCTGCTACGAAGAGGGAAGTTTTGGGTGGGACCAAGGCGGGTAACGGTGCTTGGGCTCTTGCCTGGGTCGATACAGTTGTGGAGCTGCCGAAGCCTGATGATCCGCCGAGCCCGGCTGCTCTTGCACGCGAGGAAGCTTTGAAAGCGGTGGAGTTGGAGAGTGTGGACGAGGAGGTTGTTATGGTAGAGTAGTTCAGAGTCAATCTATTGGCATTGAAATATTGATGAGTGCAGAAGATCCACAATGACATGGGTCTGTTACTATTAGGCATTGCCACCGGGCACAAACCGGGCATCATGAGGGTGCCAATGAACCTAGGGGAAAAGCTGATGTCTCAAGAGCATTTGGGACTCGGTTGTGTCTGTGCACATATCCCTCCATCATGCACATCGTATTCTCAAGGTTCCGGTTCTGAGGCAGCCACTCCTCACGCACAGAATCTTCATGCGCTCGTGATAGTCCAGGTCTCGCAGAAGCTGAGGCGTGACGAGGAAGCACTGCGAGCTTTCTGGCCTGCGTATATGACGATGTGTGCAAAGACTGCCTGGACTTCCAATCATCTTTGTCAAATCTTTGCGCAAGTTGGTGTGAGGCTCGATGAGAGGGTCTGCAAAATTTGTGACTAAGATATGTAGGGAGGATCGATGGATAGTCTATGTAAGAGTCGCAATGACTGCCGTTTTGTTGTAAACGTACTAAACCCTGTTGTGAGGCCGAAAAGGCATTTGTGTACTGTGAACACTGAAAGGTTCAGAAAGAAAGCTTGGACAGGGACTGGCTTGGGAGCAGGTGTACCAACAACGACACCCAACACACTCAGGCACATGACGATGTGTCGCTGATATCCATTGGCCATTATTGACACTCCGACGTATCTGCGCCGTTAGGGTTAGGGATGTTAGGAGGTTAGGGTTATGGTTAGTGGGAGGTTAGGTTGCCGGTTAGGGTTTCAAACTCCGCTGAATTCCCCATTCGGGGAGTGTGTTACAATTGTTACAATAGGAAATCCGTCTACATCTACTAAAGACTAAGGGTGACCCAAGAGCCAGCCTCGACGGACCGAATCGACAAGCAGTATACTACTGTTGCCTTGTACAATTGTTCAATACAGCCATCTTCTGTTGATAGTCTCCAAATATCCTCCCAGCAAGCCTGATAGATGCCGTGTGCCAATCCGAGGATAAGTGTGACCTCAGTCTTCGATACTCCATTTCACCAATACTGGCCTCTCTTGAGATCAACAGATCGAGGTTGGGTATTTGCCCTAGGTAAAAGAGGGAGTGATGAAGAGGCCAAACTACAGCACTATCGGAGAAGAGCGACTTAGCTGTGGCGAGGAGGCCATCTTTAACGACCCCCTCAATCTTCATATTCGCAAGCTTCAGCTCCGTCCTCTCGACCAACTCCCTATTCGTGTCATCTCTCCATTGACTATACTGCCTGCAATTAACGAAGATGTGGTGCATGTCTCCTGTTACATCACATCCAAAGCTGCACAGATCATCGCTTCTCTTCCCTCTTCTATAAAGAACGTCCTCCGTCGCAAGTTGTCCAGACCTAGCATAAAGTTGAACAGCGGCCGAGTGTGCAGAGACTGCTTTGGTGTAAGGAAAGTCGGGTGGTGGTCCTGGATCATGGGCCCACGCCGACATTCGCAGGTCGTGTCCTACTCCTAGATCGGACGCGGACTTTCGGGCGAGGAGGATCTCGATGAAGTGCATGGTGTTGGACTCGATCCAGCCATCACGTTCGGAATAGAGTGTGTAGTCATTCATGAAGAAGGTTGGAATAGGTGATTGTGACAACTCTGAAACGAGTTTCTGAGACGATGTCGCCAAGAAGTCCGCTTCATCATTCATTCTTGCCTCAAGCGACGATCCACCAGAGTGACTGGCAGTATAGTTGATAGTAACGCGCCTACGGTTCACGAGTGAGAGGATCCACCAGTAGTAGGATCTACCATTCATGTAGCGTAGCCGTGGTACTTGAGAGACACTGGTCTGGCTGTCATCAATTAGTCTAACCGAATTTAAGTGATCAGTGAGGACTGTCACGATGTCTTTGGTGACATAGTTTCCAGCTAGAATCAGTGAGATTATCAGCCCAACTTGTTCTCCATGTAAAATGGAAATGTTACGCCCCGGGACTCTCAAAACCAGTGACTTTCTCCCTGTAGCAGCTCTGGTGACCGACTTGCTATCCAAAATGCCTGCAGCAGCTGGTACCATTGAGCCATCGGACACCCAGGTGAGATCGTCGCTGTATCTAGAAGGTGGAAAGCCACAGACGTCTGCGAGGTTGCCAACCAATGCCTCAGCCCATCGCTCACGTAGCTTACGAGGCAGAGCCAGATCGACTGGTCCTATGACTAGGTTATCAATCTGGATCCTTTCGCAAAGAGCATGGACTAATCGTCTCCAACTAGACTTGGCTGCTGAAGACCAGGTCTTGTCGAAGACGCAGGGATGGTTAGTGACGCGAATCTGACCATCTAGATCCATAGTCCACTCTCCGAAGTCCTTGAGAGTGCATATACCCTTGAGACACAGAGAGCGGAGTGAGACGCCCGTAATATCCGTAAATGCCTGCGAACCAGAATGATTGCACAAGTTCTTTACATGGGTCAATGAAACGTCACCTTCTACGATGCCAGATTGGTCTGTCGGCCTGAGAGACAACGACATATCCTTCAATACCTTCTGAGCTGTGACCCACTCAGCTGGGATGAGGTGCATTTGCCGTGAAAAGTCTCTCTGTAGACCGATGCCATCGAACGGGTACAGGCAGTTGTTCCACTCGCATGTCCAATCCATTAGCGTGATAAGCGCCATAGTTCGGTACGAGCGGATGTGATGATTAAGGTCATGACTAACCCCATTGACAACTATGCCGGCATTGATGCGAGCAATAGACGGGAAGTCGAAGCCATGGTAGGATACGGGAAGAGTCGCAATGGACGTCGAAGGTATAAAGGGAAAGCCAAGGGCATCATGAACCTTGCGAATGATCAACCTGTCAAGTGCCTCGGCGTCAGACTGTTTAATCGGTTGAAGCGACAACAAAGCACAACAACATGAGACCACATTTTGTGACACAATCTTCCGAATCAGTGTAATGGGAAGACGACCTATTACCGTTGGAAACTGAAAGCTTTCTATGAAGTCTTTGATTTCAGTAAAACGGGACACAGGATCATTGACTTTGGTCCTGAGAAAGTCTAGATCGTCTTTGACGAGCACGACATCATGCTCAGTGATGTCAAGAGGATTGACCCCCCTTCCCGTGGAGATGGACTGAAACTTGATAGTATCAGGATGATTCTCCGTGGCCGCGAGAACATAGGCCTTCGACTTCGCCCACTGCATCAACCAACCATAAGCATATTGAAAACGTTCCATCACGAGTGCGTTGCATCGCAACGACTCTAAGGATTTAGAAAAAATGTAAGAATCATCTGTAGCTTCTACCATAGCAATAAGCAGGCTGTGTTTTGCATCCGTCAGATGTGGGTCATCCTTCAACATACTGCTCGTCGTCACAACAAGGGCATCTGGGTCTGCAGAAAGAAGGTCATTAAGAAAATGATGACCAAGACTTGTAGTGAAGGTTGATTTGAGTGGGGATGCAGCCCCTCCCTGTTTGTTAAGCCCAGACACCACAATCGGGTCAGTGACCCCATACGCCGTTCGAATATAGCATTTGGTCTGATGCTGGGCAGCATAATCAAGGTCAATAATCGACTCTGGGAGTCCATAAGCACGAACAGCATCATAAAACCCTTCAGGTGAAAGATAATCGAAGCCCTTCATCTGGTCGCGCTTCAACGCGAAGACTTGTTGTTTATGACGATTTGCCCAGCATCTGACACCAGACAAATAACTCATGAGATCGCGAGTCTGAACACCAGGCTGTGCCGCCACCTGGGTGTCAGGTAAGATTCGTTTCTCCGCAGAATAACACATCAAAGAGATATTCAGCCAAGCCATTGGTGAATTCGTGAGAAAGTTAGAAAGTAAAAGACCTCTCCAATTCTGCAGGTCTGTCCGAAGACCCTGTTTGTGAAACATAGTGAGCCACATGTCTTTAATATCCCCAGGGAAATGGGAATTCAAAACCTGGTAATTGTGCAAGTCAAGCACCAGGGAAAGTGTGTCATCAGAGAGCGACTTGATAGTCCATTTCTCCCATCCATCTGGGCCTGGTGAAGGCTTACTATTGCCCCACCTGAGCATAGCACGAAAGTCAGCAAGCGAGGCTTTAATTGGCCAAATAAAGGGATCTTCAGTCACACGGCTCCTGACCTCCTTAACCGATGGTGTATCAAGCCAGGGCTTTGGCAAGTCAGGGACACGACTGTGATCGTATAACCTCGAGAAGTATTCCCTAGTCGTCGACTTCACCCCTTCAGGGTCGCAGACAAGCTTTTCAGCATCATCCAGATCATTAAGGGTCAACGGAAAAGAAACAAAATTAGAGGATTGGATGAGCTTCCTGGTGGAGCCACCCTTGAGCGCAGCAGCTATACACTGCCTTTCCCCTAAACGCACACATAGCACAATCTCCTTCGATTTCTCGGCGAAGAGTAGCTTGTGAAGTGACCTTCGTTTCCTTGTGAGATATTGGATCAGTGTGGAATCTGAACCTTCGCGCAAAAGGTCACGCAAAGCACAGGCATGGAGGTCCCTCACCTTCAGCGAGACACATGCAAGATGGTCAGACTTTTCAAAGCGTATGGCACCACCAACATGTCTGATGTCTGATACTATACCCTTGATCTTACCATTTGTTATGACCTCCGCTCACTTGCGGTATTGCTTCGCATGCCCAAAGACGTTGGCAGCAGTGGAGGTTATAATATTGGTGAGGTCTGAGTAGCGCTTTATGAACGAGTCATCGTCAATGACTTGATGTTCATGAAGATACTCAGCTTTGACTTGCTCATCAACAAGATCCCTAAAAGTCTGATACTTGTGCTTCTCAGACTTGAGAGGGATCTTTATTCTGGGTTGATTGGCTGTTCGTCCCATAGAGAGCTCTGCTGTCAATTGGCCAGTGGGTTGAGCCGGATTGGGCATGGCATGTACAATGTGTGCAACAATAGGTCTATGGTCAGTGTAAGGTATCCAGTCAGAGTGACAATCAGCAACAGAAATCTCAGAATCAATCATAGAGCCACGCGAAGTCACAACAC